CACAACAAGCAGAAAGCATTTAAAGTCACCAGGATACAGAGCAAACAGGGGGGCTACTTATGCTGGGCTATATTCAATGATAGGGATAAGCATAGCAACATTGACCAAAATATCAGTATTGAATCATTTTCTACCAATAAAAATAATCCGATCATATTATTGCACGTTTAATAGAGAGCTTTGATTATTATTATAATTTTATTATTTATGTTTTGGAAATTCATATTAATTAAAGTAAAATCTAAATTGACACAAAGTCCTCATTGCAGTCCACCATAATGGTTGAAATGGCTAAAACTGAAAGCAGCTAAAACTGACATGAAAATTTACAGTAACGATTGTAACACTAGCACCCAGGGTACCTTAGATAGTACTTACACTGTGATGCTTCCCCACACAAACAGCAATTAGCTACTGTCCTGGACATTTCATTAATGCCCAGTGCTACTGTGAAAGTCTAATTTATAGCCCTATTTGTAATGAAAGCAGTTCCAGAGTGGGTACTACATGTAACTGATAATTGATATCTGCTTACATTTATGAGTCATTAAAAAGCAAATCATTTACTGCATGCATATTCACAGGACTTTTTAACATGTACTCAATCTAATTGCTATTTTTTGACAAAGGATAGCAATTGTGAAGTGACATGTTTTAGAAGGATTCTGCTCAAACTTCACATTTTAACACATCATGGAGCATCAGCGTTCAAAAGACTGAAATGCGAACGGCTAAACTGAAACAAGAATCCTGTGCATTTTAGATCATCTTTACAGAGGTCTAAAACTACAGGGTTAGCAACTTTTCTATACAAAAAGATATATTTTTGTGGCTGAAAATTATATTGGCCTTTTAGTGTCACAATACTAAAATTTCAAACTCAATTTTGATATTTTAAGGAACAAATTTAATATTCAATACTGATCGTGATGATCTCTTTACTTAGACAATAGAATGTACTTTTCAAAATTAATCTTAGTACTTTGCTTTATATTACCATGTGATCTTATATCTGTATAATCCAGGTTCCATAGTGATCCATCATTCTAAAACAATTCAGGAAAGGTTCATTTCTGTCCTGTGAATGTGACTTTTTTAGTACTGATACTTGTTCAAATACATATCTAGTTTCGATACTAAGTTTAGTATATATTAGTATCTTATATTTGATACTTTTGATAATACTATTGCCTTTCCAGTTAACCAATTGTGACACTTCAAATTGTGATTTAAATTCTGGCCCTACTCACATGTAGTGTAAGGTTTCCTCGATGACAACAGCAGCTGTTTATTTTTATCCTTAATCCCCTCACACGCCCCTTTTGTAACTGATCCAACTTCTTAGATAGGCTACAATGGCACAGTGCCAAAGGAATCAAGACCCATCAAGACTATAATATCACTACTAATACTAGAGTTGGATGATGAGCTAGGGGTTGAAGATATGCCAGAAATATCATATCATATCATCGTCATCATTACCATCATCACCTTCTTCATCATTTTTATCTAGAGCTCTCTATTCTAGCTCTCTTGGACTAAACAGGGACTAAACTGGGCCCTGTTTGGGACTAGTTCAGGACTAAACTAGGACTAGATTGGCACTAAATTAAGTCTACATTTTCAACTTAAACTAAGAAAAATGCACCGCAAAGAAAGACATTTTTTGGAATTCTTGAAAGATCAAACTTCACTTTGATTGGTTACATGCACCTGTCACTCACTTAAAATATGGTGAAGGTTAACCTAATAGCGGGAGGAGGTCTGTGTTTAACCACTGTAGTTGTGGAGACTGCATTATAAATACTCAAACGTCTATATCAAAGCTTATTCTGATTTTTTATATTGTAGTTTTATTGGTTTTAAACTAGTTTGCAGTGTAAACAGGTCTAGAAAAATACTAAAAAGAGAAGACTGAAATTTGAACTGCTACACTTTGTAGCACTGGCCTATTCTAAACCAATTCTCCCTGTATAATACTGTTTGTCAAGGAGTATAATAAGAAAACTACAATTTCATTCTGTTTATTTCTATATTCATTCCAAACCTTTCACAATATAGATAACAGAAAAAGGCCATTGGAAATCTAAAACCATGCTTTGTTCATATTGGCAATCAGTTATTTAGTAACACAGCTTTCCAGGAGGACAGATCAATCTTGTGTCAAATTTTCACATTTTTTAGATGTACAACTGTACATGTACTCCAATCTGCAACAAAACAAGCCTGGACACAAGAAACCAAGACATGCACTATGTAAATCTGTGACCACAGCCTCCAGCACTGAGGCCACTCCACTTGTAAAACTGGTTTGGAAAATCCTTGCTACAGCTTGACTACTACTACCACTACTCTAATACTACAACTACTACTGCAGCTGCTACTATTTACCACAACTATCAACTACTTCTAGTGCTACTACTACTACAACGACAACAACTACTACTACTTCTACTCTATCATCTACTACTACTACAGATTTTGCATAATATGTCCTCTTTATATTATCTACACATTACGCAGTTTGTCAGTGTGAGGCTTTGAGGCACATGGAAGTTTCTTTCTTTCAAGTAATTGGGCGATGGTGTTTTAGGCAACAAATTTCCTTTGGATGATAAGGATTAGATTGACCACAGCAGAAAGGAGAATGCATGGAGTGTGTGAGCTGGAGTTTTAGGAGTGACTGCACAGTTAAATCTGTCTTTTCATTATGCTGTTTCATTGTATGTCTACTAATAATTTTGTGAATTTTTCATCATTTTAGCCGAGAGTTCAATTCAAGTGTAGTTTTGAGAGACAGACAGGAGCAATAATTACATCTTGAATAATGATGAAAAAGGGCTATTGAAAATGTGCAAACTTTATACATTTATAACATTATCTTTAATACTTTACCAGCACTAGGTGTAGAGTAAAATGGAAATATCCCCTGTTGACTGCACTGACATAATTAATAGGTTACATTATTCAGTGGTCCAACAATATTAGTATCTTGCAGACCAATCAAACTTGGAACAAAACAAAAGTAAACAAATTTTACTAGCCAAGAAGGGACAAGACGTCAAAAGGTGTAGTATGCCTGGAATCAGCCAGAAAGCCCTCTGGCTGGAAGGTCCCCTCATTATATAAATATTGTATTAAATACACACGCAAGTAATATATCTCAGCACATTTCATCATACATACAAACAAAACATACAAAAATTATGTGGCATCAAACACACACAAATAGAGTAAATAAAGTGTGTCAAATTACTCCTCAGGAATAGTCCATCAGTGAGGCACACAGCCTCAGAAACTCCTGTGATCTCAATAAATATGCCACAACTATTTCAGGATATTATCTTACATATTTCAATGAAATACATAGTTACGACATTACTAAAGTGATTTTGAATTATTTTTGAACAAATTATATAGCTTTAAGTTTCTTGTGTTGCGCTGCTTACAAATAATGTTCATGGCAAGTAGGTAAGGAAATAATTCATATTTTTTCCCAAATCAACAGTTACAGATGCTATAGGGCATGAGGAACAAGAAAAACGTATTTAAAATATGAATTTATAGTAGACTTCTGCCAGCAAATGAAGATTATATTGCTATTACATACTGAAAAACATGTGCCACTTTTGGGAAAATGGTAAAATGACATAAACAAGGCCTGACATTTGGTCTGGCTAAATTTACATTTAATTTTATTATGATACAGAATGCTGATTTTCTAACTCAGTACATCACAGTGCGTGATGTGGCCGACTAAAGGCCGGTGAGAATGTCCCCCCTCTCCTGGGCACAACAGTTACCCTTGTGCTGCCCAAGAGATGGGGCGCCAGGAAGGAGGAGGGGGACGTTCCTGTTGAGAGAATGGGACGCTCGAGCTGGGACTTTCAAGCCAGGGACGCTCGAGCTGGTATTCATGGTTTTAAAACTAAGATATCTCATGCTTTTCAAAATGAGAGCTAAGTAGGAAAGTGCAATTACTCAAATTTTAACTGAACCAAGATCAAATGGTTTCCGTATTGCAATGATCAGCTTGGTTTTTACAATCAACGTGGTTCAATTCTACTATGATCTGATGAGGAGTTCAGATACATGAGGAATAGCCTATATGTCTACATTATATTATTTGTATTAAATGACAGAGAATAAAAATCTATCTATGTGCACCTTCATGAAAGCAGTATTCATTTGTTTTTTCATAGGAAAGAATACAATTAATTCATAATCCTTATCAAGCAAATCATGGGTTTCCGAATGATAAAAAGTCCTCGAAATGGCACCTTATAATAGAAAGCTGAAACTTATGAATGCATTACATACAAGATTATACAAAGTGATCTGTTTATCATCACATTTAACACTATATAATGTAATTTATGGAGTGTAAATCATTTTGGTGAGGCTATCCAAAATGGTCTCAAAGCAAGTGAGAAGAATAATATCATCTTAACCACACTGACTGGAAGAGAAGCATGCAGAAATATACAGCACAATTTAATTCATTTACCAAGGTTATTGTATATTTTGCACGTGTGTAACAAACTAATGCTGTAACCCGAGGAGGGACTTAGTCAAAAAGAAAGTGGGAGGGTACATCATGGAAAGGTCTAGAAAGCCATTAGAACTAGCTTATTTTCCAGCAACCCTAATGGCAATTAAAATAAATGGCCTTTCATCCACTCAAGGTCAGAAAAGTATAAAGCTAAGCCCATAGACGCTGGCTGATCATAAAAGTGGGGTAATTGTGTGTGCGTAGGAAAGCGCGCACGTGGTTTGCTGAGGTATTACGACGTCGACACGTACGTAGTTAGTCCTTGAGCAATTTCACTTTAGTATATTGTCAGTTTATGTTATAATTTGATGTAAAATAAGTAATGAGCTCGTTACTGTAAGGGTCTGTTCGTGTCTGTGCTAATTACGCATAGCTCTGGCTGTGCGTCAGGACTCGCCCCAGACCTAGCGTCATTTTAACCAGTTTTTAACCAAGCTAGTTTACTTACTTGTCTGCTTCAGTGCCATCTTTCTTCGGCTGCTCATCCACAGCTACCGCGCCCTCAGTTTTAGTGCAATACGTGCGGAAAGGGGATGCGGCATTGGGAGAGGCAGTGCGCAAAGGTTGACGGTGAACAGCGGCAGAAGCTGCGGCGGCATGGGGAGTCTTCACGGCGCTAGCATCTGTGGAGGAGGGACCAATGCCAAAGCAGCAAGAGCGCGCAGATAACCACGACTTCTGAGCAGGTAAGGGTCGCTTCAAGCTGGCGTTTGACAACTCCTTTAGTACTCCCGAGAACCTATAATGTAACATCTCAATCCTGTCGAAAAATCAGAAGGAAAATGTGGTTTCCGTGTATCCAAAAGCGAGTAAAAAGGAGAGGGAAAGATCGTAGCACGCTGGTTGTCTCTCTCACGGGCGATGACTCACAGACACCGGTGTCCAAAAATAAATACAAGCCGATATGCACGCCCCGTGTTGCTCCCATTGGCTGAAACAAAGACATTTCCGTGTTTGTAGGTAATTTATGCCTTCCTCAAAGTAGCCATTGGTTGAAATCTGCGTCAATCAATTGTGGAAATGTTGAGAAAATTTTCCGTTTACCCGGAAATCAGATGAAACAAGCCAGCCTTTGGAATGTGGACTATGGCTGCATTGTATCAGCTAATTACATGTTTATAAAAGGACACTAATAATATGCTTGTGCATTTAATAATTTATGTTTGTATATAGGCCTACTAAATACTAATGTCAATGGAAAATAGCATGTTTTGCAGCTTCTAAATAGGCTTACAATATGGATAACTTTTGCTATCTTGACGCTGCAGCAATATAGGGCAGTAAGATTAAATATATAGGAGTTAAAGACGACATGCTGTGCTGTCTGTTGTCTATTTGGTATTAAACTATAACATAAATAGGTCATGACTTTACATTTTGTTAACTGTATACCACAATATTGAGCTAACTTAACTGCGTAATAGAAACAGGTCCACTGAATACCTGTTCAAAACTTCAGAACTGACGGCCCCACCTCTTGTTCATATTGTGGGTTTTAAAGGTTTTGTTATTATTGAAAAGTATAACAAATCAGATACTAATTGATAACAAAACGAATATCGAAATTAGATACTAATTTTGGCGACTATAGATAAAAAAGTCACATTCACAGGACAGAAATGAACCTTTCCTGAATAACTTTAGAATGACCTTGAGCTGTATCAGAATTATAAAACCACATAGACTAGTACATGCCCTTGGACCACTATGGAACCTACTTGAACGACTGAGGGATTAAACAGATATAAGGTCACATGGTAATATAATAAAAAGAACTAGGCCTATGATTGAATGTTGAAAATTACATTCTGTTGTTTTAATAAAATGTTTTTATGATTGTATGGAGTATTGAGTATATTTTTTTCTTAGTATTGAAACTGAGTTTGAAATTCTAACAAATTTTAAGTTCTCCGTGTAACCTCACTTTATTTCTTAGTATGACAAAGGCACTGCTTCTTTGTATTCAGATTGCATCAAGAAGTCTGCTAATAAAATGTTCAATCAAAATAATACAAGTGTTATTCTCCCTAATGTGGTTATATGGTATGTTGCAATACAGGTTTATTGTAATGTTTGTTTGTTGTACAATAAAATGACTGGTACATTATGAAACTTTCCTGGGCGAGGACCAATTACCTACCTGTTCTGCAGTACAGTAGTAAAACATTTTCCATTTAGAAACAAGCAGGTGGTGCCAAGTTACTGCTCAGACCTGTGGAGAGGAGGGCCCTTTTACAGTAGGCACATTTTTCAGGAGGGACATATCATGGACTGGGGCACTATTGGACTATTTCCTCAACACTATGGTACAGGTAGTAGAGTGGCACCAAAAAATGTAAAACTGCAAGACATGTCATAATAACATCACATGACCCTCGTGAAGAAACATCCAAAACATGTCAAGGTATGTGTAAACAACACACTGGTCTGTTAAAAAGAACCTTTATTTGGAAATAATATTGGAAGACCCAAAATTAACCTCTTTGATGTAATATAGTGTTCAAAGATTATTATTGCTAATAAATCTATTAAAAACCATGTATACTTATTGTCAGTGAGGTCGCCTCTTCTGGATTGTGACTGGGGCTGGTGTTGTCTTGTTTGTTTCTATAGATACATATAAGATTTATGCTGGGAAACATTCCAAGGCAAGTAATAACATCTTTATGGAAACAAGCTGGGGGCAGACTGTCCAAAGTAACTTGGTGCAGCTTTAAAGTGATACATTTGGTGTATACATTTTTGGAATTGCCTAATTTGTTTATCCACAGCAAAACTGGTAGATAGACATTACCTCACATAATACAGATTTATTAGTTTACAATCATCTCTAAAACATCAAGACAACCAGTGAAGACTATTTATGTGAAAGAAAGTTTCCAATTTTCCAGTCTAAAATGGGATAAATTATCTCTTTACTGACCCCTGGTGGCTCTAATAAGTATCTCTATGTATACTACATAGAATTCTTGTTGATAAAAAATAGTCCAGACAATTTTATTTATTTAGACAAGTGACTGAAAATCTTTACTTATACATGGCAATCATTTGATGTTAGATTTTTTTTAAATTTTAATCTGAAAAAGTAAAGAAGCTAAATAAAAAGTAAATTACATAATTTAAAAATTACCTCAGCTAGCAACATGGAAAAATGTTTCAATGTCAATCAATTATCCTTACAGTCAGGGAAAGCTTTCCATTCATGTTTACAAAGATAAACTGCACATACTCTATTGTCTATTGTGGTTTTGAGGACAGCATTGTGCATCATTATTAGTATTAACTATGTGGGAGGTCCACATGTATGTCTATGACACAGTGCTCAGCTGTTACCATGGTGACACAATGCACACCTGAGTAAAAACTATGAAAAAATATGAACATTCATAGTCGTGTTTAGGTGTTTGATTTTCAACAAAAAGGCTGGTTTGACTGTTGACTAATGCTAGCTAGCTTCAAGTAACTTGTGAGTATAATGTCATTTGAGAGAGTACAAATCAGCTCACCTGCTGTAGCTCCAGCTACAACAGTTGGTTCTTTATGATTAGACTGTCTTAAAATAAAGCTCTTGAGTAAAAGTTCTCCTCTAAGGAATATTTCTGCAGTATCAATTTCTATCAGTGTATACAAAGTACACAGCCAAGTATAAGGCTACTACTTGATAATAACCTAATATAGGCTTACAGTATTTATTTAAAATGTTTTCTTTTGGTTTACTTTAGTATAAAAATATAATTAGGATTTTGGACAGAAATTCCATATTTGAAATCACAATCCACTTGTGCTGTCAAAACTGGTCAGGAAAGGAAACATTTGTTCAAAAGGTGGTAGATTCGGAGCTATGGTAGGGTCCAGAGCATCAGGGAAAAACTCCTGCCACTCCTCACTAGAGACGGACCAAGGACCCTAAAAAATAGAAACATAATGATTACTGAAACTAAAAACACGATATGCTTATTTGATTTATGTATGAGGTAGATAGGGTCAACTATGATGCACAAGACAGTAAGAGCAGAAAATGTTAAAGGTTCACTATGTAACTTTTCTGGTGGATTGTTGTTTCTGTGGAGATGTCTTCCTTGAATGCTCCTTAGTATGGCATTAAATGTCTTATTTTGCAATTATTAATGCAATTATTTTCATAGCTCCAAAATCCTTAAGTTAGAATACACATTGTTACTGTGAGTGGGGTCATATTTCCACAGATCTGGTCTGTAACTTGGTGTCACCTGCTTGTCTCCATGGAGAGAGACAAGTCAGGGTCACATTGACCCGAAGAAAAATTTAATTTCAAATAAATTCTCGCCAAGTGAGAAAATAAATTCAAGTTACAAAATGCACCTTTAAGTTTCAGGGAACAAAGTATATCTTATTTGATTCACACATTTTGTAGCATATTTCTCTCACCTTAACACCGTCTGTGTCTACATCCATTTGTGCCTCGCTCGGTGGAGATGGGGGAGGAGTGGGACGGCTAAAATAAGATAAGACTTAAGTCAGACAATTCATATATTACACAATAATAAAACTTTTTGAAATTGTACGTACTCTGAAACAACGACGAGTTTTCTGTTGATATAACCATCTTTGTTTATTGGTGCTGAGTTTTCTGAAGAGACACAGTAAAGTAAGTTAATGTCATCTGCAGTGAACAGTTGAAACTTGCATTTATCAATGCCAAAGGTTGGCATGGCTTGTACATAGGTCTGCAAACAACAAAAAGATCCAGTTTTTTAATGGACAAATATAAAATTTTGGCTTCTCTCAAAAGTAGTAGAGACATACTTGATTGATTAACACATATGTGAGTTATGCTGAGTTCACTCTGCACTCTCACCAAACACCTCAAGACGTCTTTAGATCTGAGGACAGATGCTTGAAACTTGTTGACGCACAGCAAATTTCATCACAAGTCTAATTTTGACGTGTTAATATGATATTTTTTAATATTGATATTTCAAATGAGTATCTAGACTCTATGCTAATTTTAGTATGCATTAGGATCTTATTTTTGATACGTTTGGCATCACCTAGTATAAGTAGGCTATAACTGCTAAGTGCTTATAAGTCCTTGCTACCTTGTGTAGTGTAGTATTGTCCAAACACATTGTCCTTGGGTATGTCTGGGTACAGATAGACCAGGGGGTTGCTGCTCTGCTGAGCTCTCAGACTGTAGTGATAAATGATGTCGGGGAGAGACATGGCTGACAGCTCCTTCTTTGTATAAGGGTCCACTGCATGTACATTCACTTCTGTGAGGCAAACAATAGTATAGACAGGAGAAGAGAATGCAGTTTTAGCATTTTATGATTTAGAATTATTAAAGAGATGCAACAGTATCTGTGGTATTGCAACATGCCACACTAAAAACAGGAACTACATAGACTGTGGTTCTTTAGCTATGTCTGTGTATAAATGCATGGTAATATTGTACTAGTTTTTTCAAGATACTAAAATTCTATTTTAGAAACTCAATCTTAATAACAAGAAAAAGGCATGGTTAGTCATACAAATTTCACTGCCAGAAAAAAATAAAAAGAAAAGACTTGTTAAAAAAAGGCTTTGTTATCAAGATCATCAAAATCTGAAACAAACTGGCTGATTTTAATTTTAATTTTAATAATGTGTGTAACAAAAAAAATCTAATTTTTTTGTGTGTATACAAACCACAGCCAGTGTCATTTTCAACACTAGTTTTTTCAGTATGTTCTTGTGATCTGTAACTGTTTGATACAGATCAGAGCAGGTCCTTTTAAGACTCAGAAAAACTCAAATTCTTCCACTGTAAAACATTTTGACAGCCCTATATAGTACTGTGAGATTTGGATACATTGGATTTACTTGATTTTTTTCATCTGATGCCAATATTTGATATTTGTCAAAATAAGTAGCATCAATATTAACTGATATATTCCTTCCTTGCCTAGATTAGATCACTTTTTACAATGCATATGACCAACCTCTGTTGCTGTGTTCGACCCAGCTGAAGGTGATAGCGCCCTCTCTGTTGCTCTCACTGAAACGCAGCAGGAAGTTCCCACTCTGTTTGTTCTGTAAGAGCTGATGGGTTTTCACTTTGTTCACAAAACCCATGATACACCTGAAACACACATACAGCATTACTACTGAAACACTGTTGTTTAAAATATATCATTACCGATATATCATTTACATCCCATTTAAGCCATTTCTTTATATCACTGCTTAAGACAACTAATCAGTCATTTTATTTAATTCTAGTTCAGATTATTTCTATGAAACTTTTAAGTGCATTCTAACCAAGGAAACATGGTGAGTGATGGATTCTAAAAAGATAATATTTTGATTGTTTGATTGTTTTGTTTTGTTTTTTTTGTTGTTGTTTTTTTACAGTCGACGAGTTACAATTTGTGATCACTGCAGCCCTAATCAACAGTTTCTTTGAAATTTCTTACCCATCCCTCCAAATATCCCTCAAGTGTTTTTGAATCAAATCCAAAATCCCATCGATCCAAATCCATGGTCCTTCATTCTGAAAAAAGTAATAAATAAGCAGACTACATTGTCACACCATAGAATAACTACGGAAGCTGTTACATATGATTCATTCATAAATATATTGAATTATTAAAATAAAAACATACCTTTGCAAATTTGTGCCAGTAAACAAGATCATCTGGATCATCTATAACAAACGAAAGCATTTTAAACATTAGACAAACACAGCACCTCAGGAGATGTTCCAGACATGTCCCAATGGAAGGAGGCCCTGGGGAAGACCCAGGACACACTGGAGGGACTATGTCTCTCGGCCTGGGAATGCCTTGGGGTCTATCCAGGGGAGCTGGAGGAAGTGTCCAGACTTCCAGAAGGAAGTCTGGGAGTCCCTGCTTAGACTGCTGCCCCAGCGACCCGGCTCCAGATAAGTGGAAGAAAATAGATGGATGGAAATACAGCAATAGGCTATTTCCCATAAATTTTAGTTGACAACTGATATTACTGATGATCATCATTTAAACCATGTAAGTTATTGTTTCTGTTCCATCTTTTAGCATTTAGTTAGTTTAGTTTAGAATGAGTAGAGATTGTTAGGAATCCAGACTACTCTGTTTGATACAAACTGACCATCCATTTCTTTGATTGGCTAATCCACCTGTCAATCATGACTATCTGAACACACAGAGATATAACTGGGGACCAGACTACACATATAGCATAGGGGTAGCACAAAATTTTAGCTGGTATAGCAACAAAAGACATAACTTACCAACAATTTTGAGTTTAAGTTCATTAAGTTGGTCCTGATTGAGCTCTCTGTCTCCAGCTGAAATGAACTGCCAGCTCAGAGCCTGGGACAGCTGCTCCCAGGACAGAGGAGGAGGGTCCAAGAACAGGGACAGAGTCTAGAAACCAAGAAATAATATTAACAAGAATCAAATACTATTGTCCCACTTGGAATGCCGCTCGAACTGATAATGTATATACACAAGTCGACAAGTGCGGTGTAATCAATTATAGTATAACATCATCACATTCTGGAATCTGAAAACCACACAAAATAAAAAATATAATAGTAAAAGTCATGTTCATGTCCTCACCGTGGGTTGAGTGACAGAGAGGAGGTTGTACCACATGACAGAGGCCCATGCACTTGGGATCTGATTGGTGCTGGACACAACCACCACAGGAAGAGAACTGGCCTACAAAAACAAAATGGAAAACTTTACAATGTATTTCATGTATTAGACATCTTTAAAGGTGCACTGTACTTGTATATACAGTAACTTTTCTGATGGGGGTGTAGTGTCACCATGGAGATGTCACTGAGTTGCCTGGAATGTTCAGCAGTATGGCATTAGACTAAACTTGATTTTTGTCTGCAGATTTTTTTTTTTTTTTTTTTTACATCACCTGCTGGTCTCCATGGAGATAAATAAGGTTAATGCCATACTGTGGAAAATTCAGGTAAAGTACTAACATCTCCATGGAGACAAGTGAGGGACAGACCCTCAAACAGAAAAGTTAAATAGTACACAATCCTGCCCATTTCAGAAAAGTATAGCAGCAGTAGAAGTTTAGTTTTGGTTCCAGTCCTAGTTTAGTCCTGGTTTAGTCCCGATTTAGTCCTGGTTTGGCAAAGCATTCACCTACAGTTTGTGGTTTCAGTTTTTGTAGAAAAAAAATAATAAAAAATTAGAAAATAGCATATTACCTCAATGTTACACTCCAATTCAGGCATTTGAAGTTTGGTGACAAATTTAATAATGTGTAGTTCTTCTGTAACACCAATGGAACTCTGAAAAATATATAATTGTTTAAAATTGTTCTATGAAAATCCGAAATGTCAAATATTTTCAGCATTTCACCTCATTTGATCCCTTTGATCTTGATTTACTTCCTTCTTCCTTGATAGACTGCAAAAAAAAAAAGAAAATAATAATATATATATTTTTTTTATTAATAAACTACTACCAAAATGTCCAAAAACTCCTATATACGTTAGATGTATTATTAAGTGTTCATCAAACCATTTTTTTCACAATTCAACAAGGTGCAACTTTTATGGTGGAGGGGCTGCCACCTCTTTATGAAGTAAAGATACTATAGTTACATATGTTTAATGCAATACTGTGGAACACTCCAGGCAAAGCAATAACATCTCTATGGAGACCACCAGAAAAGTTACTTACTGCACTTTTAACTTTAATCAGTGGTTCAAAAACAGCAGTGCAATGAGGGACAACTATTTCTTTTATTTGGACAGGGTGAATAAGCATGAAAGGGTGTCAACAAAAGGGAGAGACATTCAGCAATTTGATTACATGGGATGTCTCAGAAATGATTAAAATAATAATAATTAAAAAATCATAAATTAAAGAACAGCTGATCTTTCTTGGATTTGAGGTTTGGTCCCAGTTCAGTTCATTTCAAATCAACACTTGTAATTTCAAAACTAGATGTGTACCTAATAAAGGGGCCAGTGAGTTCTTACCAAATGTTCAAACTCTGCCACCAGGCCTCCATTTGGCGTGTAAACATCCAGCCATTTACTTTGATTTTCCATGAACACAAATTGACGATACCTTGGGCAAAAAGTGTGAAATTCAAATTCATAACTAACCCCATGTAAATATTATTTTATTTACCAAAGAAATAAGCAAGATTTTAGATACCCTTTTATAGTTCTGACTTCTTCAACGTCCCTAAAACAAAAATTATTGTTCATTGTAAATTACATCACACATATTTTAACGTGCCAAGCGCCCACTTACTTGTCAAATACAGGTTTGACTTTGAGCAGAGTCTTAAACATTGGCAAATTTACTAAAAACCTGCAAAAAAGTAAATAAAATTAAATAAGCAAAAGTCAAAATGCAACTTTAATGCTGTGATATTTTTAATCGAATGCTTTGTTAGGTTCTTTGGGACTAGGCGCTAAAGCTGTTTTATAAAAAATAAAGTATATTGATTGGTTGGTAGTCTGCTGCAAGCATCTGTATCTGTTTGAACCCAGAGTGAATAGTAAATGCCGGTTCACTTACCTGAGGGCCACAGTAAACCTAATTTTAGTTTTGAGAATGCAGGGTCTGTGAGTCCTCGACATCACAGGCTGTTTCTCCACCACCAGTGCACTGCAAAATAATCACACGTCTTAACAGTCTCTATGTGTACAAGTATATATATATTTATCTGTGTGGTGTTTCTATGTACTTCTCCATGAGTTTAATGAGCAGGTTCTTGGTGAATGAGCTGATTTGTTGTATGACTTGAGACAAGTCGCACTTCGGGTTGATCTGAGGCCTGCTCTGCTCCTCCAGTTTCTTCAACTGTTGGATGATCTGCAGAAGAGACTCTGCCACACCACTGAACCTGAGACAGACATATTAGGCATTTTATTTTGACTTAGAAATGAACTATAACACATGTAGATCCTTATTTTATATTTTGTTTATTGTAAACTGTAATGTAATCTAAAACATCTTAATAATAGCAACAGGTTAACTGACTTCATATTCAAAACTGCCCTGCTCCTTCATAATTCATAAAGTGTAATTTCACCGTAGCAAACAGCAGATTGTTATTAATAATACATCTTGTTATTGGCTATGTGACATTTTAAACCCTATTTGATTAAAAGCTCAAGTCAAGTTAACCTAATATGTAGCCTGTAATTGAAAATTTTATTTATTTATTCATTTGATTAGGACAGAGCATGTTGACATTGTTAAAACTTTTTTGTAGTTGAATATACATAGCGATAGATGCACAGTCCTTGTATGTTTGTGAGTACACACCATTTCTCCAGATGCTCCAGACTGGTACAGACTGGATTTCCAATGCAGGACATTTGCTGTTTGTATTTCCATTCAGGGATCTCCACGGAAACCAACCTCTGAACGATCTGGGCGGCAAGATTTACTGATTTCACAATTTGGTCCACCACCACCTGTAATAATTATACATGTCTTTGAATATGGAATCATTCAAGGTAGTACCAACAAGTTGCAGATTGACAACTATCTCTGAAAAAGTTTGACTGTTGAAATGCAATCTGTTATTATATCCTAGTATTAGATTAAATTATGATTAGGATTAGGATTAGATGTTTAAAGTCAAGATACCACTATAAAGATCTCATTCCAATCAATTTTATATTTTTTAAGTACTGATATTGTAGCATGATAATCGGTACTTAACAATACCTGGTCACTATGAAAATAACTATATTTTGCTGTCATTCTTTTAAACATATCCTGGAGCATTAACATTTGAGAGAAGACTTAACTTCGAACAGTAATTACATGCATTTCAGAAGATGCTTGCAGAGGTCTAAACTGCAGAGTTAGCAGGTGTTTTACATGACCCCAAAGAGATTGAGGGGTAAATATGTTGTTTACGGCGGATATTATTCAGCAAAATAATGGCAGCCTTTCGTAATTACTAGTTGGAACATTTTATTTTGAGATTTACATTTAATTACCCTAACAACTATTCACTCTCAAATACCAAGTGACCAAGTTAGTTAATACATGTTGAGATAATGCTCTTGTACTGCACCTGTTGTGTCTGGACAATGAAGTTGGCTTGTTTCAGACACTCCTGTTGAACTACCTCATGAGGAAGTCCATTCACATTTTCCACTGACAAAAAAAGTTATTTATGTTACAAACAAAAAACATATAAATCTTATCAAAATTGACTGCATTTTCCACTCACATTGGCTTTCCCATGTCGTCTGTATATACCCCAATTTCTCATTCAGCGCCTCCAAGGACCTGATTTCTTTCTCAGTTTCCTTCATGAGAACACAAATATTACCCCCCAAAAACTGACAGAATGTAGAAATAAAAATGTATAGAATGTTAAATTTACCCAAGTCTGTTTATTTAATTCTTTGACTTTGTTGTCCAGGTCTTTGTGATTTTGTTCCTCAGTGCTGCAATTCTGGAAAATCATACAAATTTATGTCATATATTTTAGAATGTGAACAAATACAAAATGCTCTTCTTCTTTGTTCTAGTTCAATGTGAAATAATACTGAATCGTCTAAATTATTAAATTTGGGGGCAATGGGGGTATATTTTAAGTATAGATTAGGTATGGTATGTGGAAATACTGGTTTGTTGTGGTCATACCGGCTTGTCAAAGCCTGATTTTGTCAGATCTCAGAAGCTAAGCAAGGTCGGGCCTGGTTAGTTCTTGGATGGGGGACCGCTGGGACAATCAGGTGCCACAGTGGGAAGCTAGTGTCAAAAACAGTCATTGTGACCTCAAGCAAGGCACTTCACCCACCATTGCCTAGTATGAAAGTGGTGTGTGCGTGAGTGATGGTGGTGATCGGAGTGGCCAGTGGAGCAGTTTGGCTACAAGAGTAGTTTACCACCACCGAGTGTGCAGTACATAATAATAATAAGGAACTGTAAAGTGTCTGAGTGTCTAAAAAAGTGCAATATATAAAACTGATTCATTATTATTATTCATTATATACTGCTCAAAAAATGAAAGGAGACTTTGAAAACACGTCAGATCTCAGTGTGAACAAAAACACATGCTGGATATCTATATAAATATGGACAGGGTAATGTCTTAGGAACAAAAGGCCTCTTTTAATGGACATAATATTTTCAGCCTACACAGGGCTTCATTTTATAGACACCCTGAAAATCAAAGTGAAATAATGATGTGGCAGGCTTGTCCATTTTGCCCAAATTAAACTTCTACAACTCAAAATGCTTCTCAATAACTTGGGTGGCCCCTATGTGCCTGAATGCATGTTTGACAACATCGTGACTTGATGTCCCAGAGGTGTTCTATCAGATTTAAGTCAGGTGATTGTGAGGGCCATTGAATTGTATCAATCCCTTCATCCTCCAGGTAATCCCTGCATACCACTGCCAAACCCCTCCTTGAACCGCCACCTTAACGTGGTGAGGGGTTTGAGTGCCCGAATGATTCTGGAAGCCATGTTGTTAGGGGCTTTATGCCCCTGGTAGGATCACCCAAGGTAAACAGGTCCCAGGGGACGGGTCAGACTAAGAGCAGTTCAGAAGCCCCTTATGATGAGTACAGGAACAAGGTCAATTACGTCGCCTGAATTGGCGTCACCTGGGGTAGGCACTCTAGTAAAAGTCAGTACTAGTCCAAAGTCAGCAAAGAAGACCAAGAGTCTCCCTCTGGAAATGACCTCTACATGCAAAACCAGTCCTATTTTAGGGGTTGTCTCATTATTGTCACTCTAGTGCACCTGTTGTTCATTTCCATTAAAGGAGGTGGCATCCTTTTGTTTCTAAGACATTGCCCTATCCAGATTTGTATAGATATCCAACATATTATTTTTTTCACACTGAGATCTGATGTGTTTTCAAGGGGTTCCATAAATTTTTTGAGGAGTGTATAATAATGTACCTGATCTTTCAAACATGAAGTCAAGATGGCCTTTTCCTCCCTCAGGCATTCAGAGAGGATCTCAGCCAAAGCCTTTGGACGAGCTTCAAAGTTTTTCTGGAACAAATGGTTAAGATTAACGACAAAGAATGGTAATAAATACAATGGGATGCTAAGTACGTCTGGGTGGTGTGACAAAAAATGTTTCAAACTCCACTTTTTCTCATATTGATTAAAATAAATAAATAAAAAAACATTAAATCTCTTTATAAGACTAATGCATTAGTATTATTTTTATAACCTTGAAAGCCAACAACTACTACTGCCTTTACTAGGCCTATTACTAAAATGACCACTCCTATTAATTGTACTAATATTACTACCACTACAACCTCTACAACCACTACTACTACGATTACTACTGCTGCTACTACAATCTACCACTTTTTGGGTACTATAGCTCTATATATCACTACCTTGACTAGTACTACTGTATTTACATGTACATTACATACCATCATAACGTCTTTCATAGCTGAGTAGTCGGGCCCCATCAGGACATTACTGTTGCGAACTGACTCATTTTTCAGTTCGTCCAGTTTTAAACCAAGAGCTTGAAGAGTCTCCCAGGCTGTGGGTTCATCTGATGCTATTAACTCCCTGAAGGAGAATAACATATGTATTAGTTAAAGCCTCACTATGCAATTTTTCTGGTGGTGGGTCCGTCATTTGCTTGTCTCCATGGATATGCAGTATGTTGCCTGGTTTGTCCCATAGTGCGACTTTAGACTTAAACTCTTAATGAAGACAAGCAGGTGATAAATAACAGGTCAGATCTGTGGAGAGGAGACCCCGCTCATAGTAAGAATGCGCATGCTTTTCAAGGTGCTATTAAGCAATAAAATACATCTGTAAATAAGCAAATGTATGATAGATCATTTTAAAGCCATACTGTGATACATTCCAACCAAAGCACTTACTGTATATCTACATGGAGACAACCATGGCATGGAGAAAATTCAGTTTGTCGACTGGACAAAAAATTAGTTTGGTTGAAGACGTTTCGCAGCTCATCCAAGCTGCTTCTTCAGTTCTGGTCAGAATGCTGGTGGACACTTCTTTATATCTGTCTGTAGGGAGGAGCTAACTAACTGAAACTAACACCCACTTGTTTATGAATTGTTATGTTAGTTAGTTAGCTCCTCCCTACAGACAGATATAAAGAAGTGTCCACCAGCATTCTGACCAGAACTGAAGAAGCAGCTTGGATGAGCTGTGAAACGTCTTCAACCAAACAAATTTTTTGTCCAATCGACAAACTGAATTTTCTCCTTGTCATGGATTCTACCTGAACGACTGAGGGATTCTTCACACATGGAGACAACCAGTGTCATACTCCCCACCAGAAAAGTTACATAGTGGACCTTTACACTACTTACACCACTGTATTGTATTATAATGTTATTGATTTATTATATACCAGTTTTGACTTTCTATCCAGTTACAGAGACAGTGGCGGATTTCTCTTGGAAATTTCCCTTCGTACAATTGACAAACTCTGCTCTGCATCAAAGGGTCCAACTTGAGCAGCTCCTGCCACTGAGCCATGGTCTCACTGTGGACATAAATCCAGACAAATACACATTAGATATTCATTACTATGTAACATAAATTAATGCACATTACTAAATCTATTGATCACGTTAAAAAGTGTTAGTTTTAGTGTTAGTTCCTCGATTTTCTACAAATGTAATTTCATATTTGATTACTCTTCTCCTCCTCGTTCCTTAACACTTTTCTTTGTCTGGTAGCCTATCACCTTTTGCTTGACATTAAAATAGATGAAGTCCTGAGAGTACATACACATGCACACATGCACACACACATAACACACCCATACACACTCACACACACCTGTACAAACACACGCAATGCCATACACACCGCTTAATTTTATAAAGAAACAGGGATGGGATAGACAGGCTATATAAAACAGAACTTTAACAGACTTAGGAACACAGCACAAAGTTGTCTGCCTCAGGTCCCTAGCGGGCTGGGCCCTCTCTGCTGTCACCTGGGTGTTGGGTGTGGGGGTCCACCTACGGGTGCCCGGTTGCGTGCTCTCAGGGTCTCCCCTCTGTGCTGGCTTCACTCTCTGGTCTACCCCCAAGCTCCTTACCTCCCTGATACTTTTAATGCATCACACCCAACTTTTTTTTTTTTAATGTATCACAAGTCAACCAGGGATGAATGTGGGTTCATGTGTGTGAATTGTGTGAGTATGTGTGTAGGCTTGTGTGTATGTGGATGTGCGTGCACATTCCTGTGCAGGCAGGTGCGTGCATGCATGTGTGCGTGTGAATGTATGCACATGTACATATATATCAGGGAGGGGGAGCATTCAGACCGGGAGGTGGTTCATTGGGGGGTGGGCCGGCATGGTCGATGGGCGACCACATGCGGAGCCCTGGGGGTGGCCCCCGCACCCGCCTTGGGGGGCATGAGTGTGGCTTGGCCTGCTCCCACTTCAGTGGGGATCTGAGGCAAAATGCCAACACACACTTAACAAATTTTCAATACTCAAATTAAATAGCAATAATACAGGTCAACATTAAATCATCCGCATAGCCTGTCTATCCCCCCCGGCACACATACATACACACGCGTATGCACACACATACACACACACATACACACACGCACGCATATACACACACACACACACACAGACACGCACATAAGGTTCACACTGTCACCAACCCCTGTCATCTTTGTTCCTATTTGTATGTAATGTTCAGTCGTAATGTCTGTCTTGTATCTTGTATGTCGTTTGGTTCCTATTTGTTGTAATCTATGTAGTTTGCAAATAAAAATTATTATTAAAAAAAAAAAAAAAAAAAAAAGTGTTAGTTTTTTGAGTAACACCAAGACTAAATTAAAAGAGCAAAAATTGGTCTGAATCAGTTCTAAGCCATAAATTAAACAGACTGACTCTAACCAAATAGATTGTACTAGGGCTGAACAATTCAGGAAAAATATGAACAGTAATTGTGATTTTTCTAGTAAACATTATGAAGACTTGCACTTCAGTAGGATCAGTGTTCATATATGCATGCAGACCAATCGACAAAAACATGTTTGTACAGTTCTAAATTATTGTCCCAAATTGTGCACCCCATGCACCCATAGCAACTTTCATCTTTTCACTTTGTGGCTTTAACAATAGAGTAGATCTAAAATTACACCAGTACATCAGCAGCTCAATTTTATTCAATAGAACTGCATTTAGGTCAGTACAGTTAGTCAATTATACTTCTTTTTATTTATTTTTTGCTACTTATTTAGATTCTATTATTACCATTTATATACATATTTTTGCTCTTTGTTATTATATTATATTGTGACGTGTGAGCTCCTGTGTCCAAATAATTTCCTTTCCATCCAAGCTGGTATAAGACAATATGTGTTACTTCTGAAGTTATGCATTTATCTTAACTCTTAATTCATTTTCTACATATTTGCTTGGCTTGTTAAATTGAAAGAACTAACGTTGATTTTATTTATTCTAGCCTTCTTAAAAAATAAACTTACCTTGAAGAGAAGTAGTCTTAGCTCGTTCAGTGGGACTGTAGCCCTCTTCTTTGATACAAGTTAAGCCAAGATATAAAAGATAATGCTGTAAAAAGTACAAACTCTAAACAGAAAGTACCTGTACCTGTAGCTTCGGGCGAGGCGCTTTTATGTACCACGCACGCCCACTGGTCACGTGATTCTCCAGAAACAAGCACGAAAGAAGTGTCAAGTTTATTCACTACAGCCATCACTACTTTCTCTTTCAAAATAAAACTCTTTCGCAATTCAAAGAGCTTTTATATGGGTAAATACTGTTCAGAAAAAATGAGTTGATTGAAGACTGCTGAGATGAATTACAGAATTACAGATCTTGCTCAATAAAACACTTTTCAAACACAAGTATGGATTCTTTGGTTTAATGCAATATTATATATAATATATAACTTAATGCATATTATCTTCATGGAGAGGGGCAAATGGTGGACTTACCACTCTTGTGAACTTTTGAATATTGGAAATTAATGCTTTAAATTGGGCAGTTTAAAAGACACCATTTGATTAAAACAATGCACGCAATATGTGAAAGATGCTCATGTGAGCTTTAAGCCATGTTATAATGTTGCTATCTCCTCAAAAACATACCTGGAGTTGTGTTTTGTTTCATTCAAACGTTTGAGTCATCCTTTATTATTTGTCTGCCTACATCTCCAAAGCTCAAAATGCTCTGTTTCACCTTATGTCGTCAGGAAGCGGTAGTCTTCAAGTTAACAGCTAGTTCTGGCAATTCCATGAAATCATCCAAATGATTCTCATGAAGGTGTGTGGAGTTTTAAAACACGGGAGCACTTCTTGTACCACATGGCATCACAAGGTGGAACAGGGTGTTTTCTGTACGAAATATGGAGGGCTTGTGTCTGAAAGATGTGAATGAAATAAAACACAACTCCAGATATGTTTTTGAGGAGGTCACAACATTATAACATAGATAAGAAATACTGTAATGCTGGCTTTTCAAATCTATGACAACAATAATACATTGCACAAAAAATGTATTCCACAGACCAGATTTAGCTACAAACTATCCAACATTAGGGCTGCGTATTAAACATACATAGTTGTTATTGTGGTGCGTTTCCTCCTCAGTTGTATTCAGGAGCATTCAGGGCGTGACACGCATTTCTGACACACGTGAAGAGCTCTCGGTGAGTCACGTGATTCCTTGTAAAATGATAAGAATCAAGCTTTGATCATGACATTCTCAAGTAGAAAGAAAACACTACTTCCGGCTGTCAAAAATAAGGAAAAACAACAGACAATGTGAACTTGTAAAAATAAGATATCTGTTGACGAATGCTTGATATTACGCAAAATTGACTCATGTGAGCTTTAAGACATGTTAGAACGCTGTTAGCACCTCAAGAACATAAGTGGAGTTGTGTTTTGCTCTGTTCCATGAAGCGGTAGTAGTTTTCAAGTCAACAACTATGGTTTAGTTCAGTAGAAATCGATAATTCCACGGCTGAAATTATCCAGTTGATTCTAGTGAAGGATGGAGTGTATGGAGTTTTAAAGCACAACATAATATTATAACAGATAATAATATGGGCCCTTTAAGTAGTATTTGTCTTGATAAAAACTAGATGTGACAAATGAACTTGTTTTTCTTATTTCAAGTTCGTCTCCTTGTTAGAAGTGTTTCTTATTTTAAGTAAAAAAAAATTTAAAAAGACATTTTGTGCTTTGTTCAACTTGGAAATCTTGTTTTAAGACAGTGAAAGTGTACTCAGATCTAGATAAATACTGCTTGATTCAAGCATATAGTCAGGCTTATTTAAGATTGTATTTTTGCAGCATAACTTCTACATACTTGTATTGATTAATGCATCTCACAGGAATATTTGTACCATTTTATTTTATACATATTTATACAATTTGTATTGAGGTTACCACATGTTAAACCACCTAATGTTTTGTTAACCAGCCATCAAGCTGTCTTCACATTCCCTTGTATAATGTATTAATATGCTTTTTTTTAGCGAGTGAAAATAAATACATGAAATCATGACCAGGACTGGGCAATATAAAAATAAAAATCTAATTGAGAGCCTCCCCTGTGAAGACACAAAACAATACAAAAACACAAGCTCATAATAAAAATAGAAACAAATAAAACAACAGACCAAATACATTAGCACGATATAGAAAACCAGAAATCAAACTTCACTGGAACAAGGAACAGTCTTTTACTCTTGAGGTTGAAGATTCAGCCAAGTCGCAGGAAGTCAAGATCAACTTAGGGTCATTTTGGGAGAATGTTGATTCAGAAAAAAAAGTCATCAACTTTCAGTCAGAATATGGGGATGTCATCTGTAAAACAAAATGAAAATTAAGGTTAAGGTACACTCTATTGTCGCTGTAAGGAAATCTGACACATTCTTCAATGCTGCTGTAGCAATCTGATTTTGAGCTACTTTAGCTGGAGGATTTTACTTATGGTGCATGTTTTGGGTTGATGAGGAAAACCACCAGTGTGCCTGGAGGAAACCCACCACAAAGAGGAATGGGCACCCCAGGAGTTGTACCCTGAACCTTCTTATTGTGAGGCATGAGTTCCAGCCACTCAGGCCCAGTGCTGTAAATAGTAGTTCATTGCCCTACATACATTGAGTATTCAAATTAATTGCCTGAGATTTTGGAGCAATCACTTGGTGGCAGTACATACTCAAAGAAATGCAAGATCGATCCTATGGCAAAACAAACATGGAGGCTTATTGCATGAAGTGAGTATGAAGAAATATTTGAAAGAAAAAATTTTACTGAGAAATTTACTGTGAATGATCTGGTGATATTTAAGAGGATGTCCTAGTGACTCACAAACCATTCCACCAATATTAGCTTGGAGGTAAGTTACCTTACTGACAGAAGCATGCAGTGCTGGAATAAGTAATCAATTTTGTTACTTAAGTGAAGTACAGATTTAAAAGCAGAATAACGCTAAAGCAAACAGACTTGAGTATCACATGAAAACAGTAAAGTAAAAGTACTGAGGTAACTTTTATGATGGTGATTTCAAACTTATCTATTAAAGCATCACCGCTGCCTCATTACGACACTCGCACCCATCCCAGTACCAACGAGGCCGAGACCAGACAAGATCAGGCATTCTCCAGCCGAATATATTCTCTTGTATGTACAGACTGTGTGCAAATGTGTGTGTGTGTGTGTGTGTACTCACGGAGTCTATGTCAAAGCACAGGTGTTCGTTGAGCATGTTGAACTCTCCAGGGGTCATGGGGGGTTCAGGGGACTGAGAGGGCGGAGGGGTGCTGATCACACTGCAGCTGCTGCTGCTGTTGCTTCTAGACAAACACATACAACTTCATTAATGGAGGTGATTTTCAATAGTATAGGCAGATGACACTCTGTGCTTATAGGTAGATTTCATTATTATATTTAGCATAATGAAGTTAATATTCTAAGCTTAAAAAAGTTATTTCAAATCAATAACAATGACTTACCGCAGTTCAGATATGGGGATGAGTGTGGACGGGATGTAGGGATAAGCTAAAAATACAACAAGAACAAAGGAATGGATTGAAATGAACAGTTCCAACAACATTAAGTACAGTTTGCAGTTATTTCTAGAGGTGCTACTACTGCTACAACTACTACAATACTACGTGAATGGTAAGCATCTGGGCTTGCCACTGTTGCTAATGTTATCGCTTCACCGGTAATGTTTCACAGGATAGTATTAAACTTATTTATCTCAATGGAGACCAGCCACATTACAGGCCAGCTCTATGAGAGGTAATTGTGTAGTAAAAAAAAACATGTTTCATCTCTCAAGGTATTTTTGAGCATCACAAACACTTGTTATTGAATAGACAACTTTCTCAACGACTTTCTGGTCCACCACAAAAGTTACATAGTGCATAATACAATCTCAGTGTATTTTGTTGTTTCACCTTTGCTTGGCTGGCTGTTGTAGAGTCGTCCGAATGCTTCATCTTTGGGTATATTTGGATAGAGGAACTTCAGTGGGTTTTCTGGTACCACTCCGTCTGAAATTACTTTATAATCTCGAATGATGTCAGCAAACGGTAAAGCACTCAGTCTGCTTTTGGTGTAAGGCTCCACTGAGTTGAATTTGACTTCTCCTAAATATAAAAGGAAAATTCAAATATTCACAACATATTTTCAGAACTGAGACTAAACCAGGCATAAATCAGCTCTAAACCAGGAATAATTTGGGAGTAATATACGCAGGTCGAAACCAGGACCAAATCTGGACTAAATCAAGTCTAAACCAGGACTAAACCAAGAGTAAACCAGGTGTAAACCAGTTCTACAACAAACAATAAACCACAACTAAAACTAGGACTAAACCAGAACTAAACAAGGTCTAAACTTGGATTATTAAATCAAAACAAAATCGAGACTAAAACAGGCATACGTCAGTTCTAAACCAGGAATAAATGCAGGTCTAAACGAGGACAAAATCTGGACTAAACCAAGACTAAACCAGGAATAAATAAAGCCTAAACCAGGACTAAACCAGAACTAAACCAGGATTAATCCAGGACTAAACTGCAAAAAAGCTTGGCCAAAATTTGATCAGAAAATGACTTAAAAGTAGTGAAATTATCTGTCCATGGAGCAAGATAATTTTACCTGACAAGTTATTTTAAAATAAACTACCTCTAGACTAGACTAGTCTCAGAACTAGTAAACAGATAATAAATCTGAAAACAAGCTGAATAACCTGATATAAATTTTTAAATCTTGGCCAGATCAGAGAAATTTGCAGTGTAAACCAGAACTAAACCAGGACTAAACCAGTTCTCACCGTTGTCTCCACGGTCGACCCAGGTGAAAGTGATCCCTCCGAGGTGACTCTCACTGAAACGCAGAAGGAAGGTCCCAGGGTCTTTGTCCTTTAGCAGAGTGCGTTCCGTCTCTTTACTCACAAATCCCATTATATAACTGGAAAAAAGATAGCAGTTAAAAACACTACAAAATGTACCTCACGAACACTTAAGTTTTTTATGCTTTGTTCATATTTCATTTTGATTTAGGTGTTCTCTCTTTCATTTTTAATCACATTACTTTAATGTTATTTTGACCTACTTCTCGCTCCAGACTGGCAGTAAATGTTTCTTGATCAACTCCAGAATCGAGTCCAGCCACATCCAGAAACTAAACGACTTTCCTGGAATATTCTCCTGAAAATTTAAACAAAAAATTATTAATTCAGTTGATCAGTTCTGCGCTTACTCTCTGCTCTGGCCACTAGATGGTGCTATATCATCAAACTTTTTTCATTTACCTTTGAGAACTTGGACCAAGACACCTGAAAGTCACTGCAGGAGACATGATGACCTGTATCAAAGAGGCAGATAAATAAGATATTAAACAGGAAATGCTGCAAATAACTTATTGAATCGACAAATACTATGCAGTCTGCCTTGTTCCAGATGATCCTGCTTTCCATTCGGTTGACTCACTACAATTACACATTACACTTACCCAGTAGTTTCTCTCCAAGCATGGTGAGCTGGTCCTTGTCCAGTCCTCGTCCGGCCTGAACTGAAAACTGCCAACTCAGAACCTCCGACAGCTGAGTCCAGTTTGCTCGAGGAGGGTTCGCGAAGAAAGTCAGATTCTGGAGGGAATTATCAATAAATTAAGAAATTATCAATGCTAGGGATAGAAAACAACTAACTATGACATTATTTATGAAAGTTGATTTTTTTTTTTGTAGTTGAACACATTACAACTGTTGCAATAGTGACGAACAATTTAAAATAAATTAATATATCAGGAAGCTGAAAACCATGAATAGATCCTTAGAATGGACATACCTTTGGCTCATCGGTCAGCAAGTTGTACCACATGACAGAAGCCCAGCCTCCGGGCAGCTGGCTCACGTTAGAGATGACCACCAGGGGGAGTGAACATGTCTGAACATACACAGAGCACAATACAGGTCTAAAACAGGACTAAACTAGTTTTAAAACAAGGCTAAGACGTGTCTAAAACAGGACTAAACCAGGTCTAAAACAAAATTAAGACAGGGCTAAAACAGAACTAAGACAGGTCTAAAACAGGACTAAGAAAGGTCTAAAACAGGACTAAGACAGGTTTAAACAGGACTAAACCAGGGCTAAAACAGGACTAAGACAGGTCTAAAACAGGACTAAGACAGGTCTAAAACAGGACTACACCAGGGCTAAAACAGGACTATACCAGGGCTAAAACAGGACTAAGACAGGTCTTAAACAAAACTAAGAGAGGGCTAAAACAGGACTAAACCAGGTCTAAAACAGGACTAAACCAGGTCTAAAACACTGACTAAGGCAGGTCTAAAACAGGACTAAACCAGGTCTGAAGTAGGACTAAGATAGGTCAAAAACAAGACTAAATCAGGTCTAAACTCAGTCTAAACATTCACTAGGTATAGAGTGAATGAATAATGCTGAATGCTTTGTAAAACGTCTTTGTGACAAAAAAAATGTCTTTGAAAAGCACTATATAAATAGGGACTTACTTAACAGAATTTAACAAGTCTAACTAAGAACTTAAACCAAAGACTACACTAGGATTAAACCAAGACTTACCAAGAGTCCGAGTAGACCCAAAATCTTTATTAGTCGACAAATTATTTGAATAAGTAACTTTAAGTATTTTAATGAATTATAGCAGAGGAGAAGGCTTGCCTTGGAGTGAGTTAGTTTGAGATTTTGGAGTGATTTGAAACTGCCTTTTTGTCCACTACGTGAAGTACAGGGCATGTCTTTAGTGGATCAAGAATTTCTTTAGTAGACTACACTCCTCCAGACCATCAGATCCTGTATATCCATGTATATTAATAGCATTTTTGTGTGCCGCTCACCTCCAGGTCGATGGTGAGGCCCTGCACCGTGAAACAAGCCTCAAAACTGAGAGAGTGGAGCTCCTCAGTCACTGACAACAGACCCTGGAACACAGAATTTAACAAGTGCATATTTATATTTAATAGCTAATCTATATCTTACTAGGACTACTGGGACTAGGGTTACAACAGGATTTGACCGGGTTGCAAATTTTAATTAATTAATTTGAATATTAATATTGAACTTCTAACCTCATTTCCCTTTGTCCCGTTGATGTATTTCTTCTCCTTCAGCTGCTGCAAGGTAAAATTATGATTAAGACCATTTAAAACAAAAAATCTAACACAATTAATTAATATAAATTATAGAACAACGTGTAAATATCCATTTTAATTGGACGTACCAGGTGTCTGAACTCCACCGAGAGGCAGCCATTAGAGTAATCCTCAATGTCCATGACTTTAGTGTTGTTTGTGAGAATGAAAAACTGACGACTTATTAGAAAAATGAAAACAACATCAGAAAAACGTACACAATTTCTAAAACTATATATTATTTGATAGAAATAGTGGTGGGATACTTACACTCTGCCAGGTGGAAGGTCCCTAAACAACAAGGAAAATGTTAGTGACAAACAATGGTAAGAGAAACATAAGATTTCATGGGTAGATTAGTAGATTTAGATGATTTGGACAGAGGAGGGACAGTGTTCATATGATAGTGTGAATATATGATACACAGAAGGACAGTGATACTATTAAATCCATTCATATTAAATCAAGTAAAAGTCATACTTGTCAAATGTTGTTTTAACTTTGAGCTGATAATCCACTTCAGGAAGTTTTACCAGCAACCTGAACAACAATTATGACATAATAATTAAATTAGACAAATGGTGATACAACAGTAAGAATTTGATCTTAAACTTGAAACGTTATTACTGATACCTGACTTTGGTGGTGAACTGGACTCCTGTCTTGATAATGAGAGGTTTCTGTGGATGTGTGGGCATACAGGGCTGCTTCTCCACAACAAATGAACTGAAACATTGACATCATTAAATGAATTGAATTAATTACTTGCCCCAAACAATAAAAAGAAAATGTCAAATTATTTCCCACATTTATTTCAGAACTATGCTTTTAAAAAATGTTCATCTTGACTTGACTTGATCTGATCATAAAAAATAATTATACACTATAGTTATTTGTGCGTGCAATATCCAACTATGTATTCACACAATGATTTCTAAACACAGTATGTGTTACAGCGGAAAAACGTGTTAAGATGGTGACTTCCTTAAAATGCATTAATTCAGACTTCCTATCCCCATGTACTCAAACTCAAACTCATAAAAGGTCCTATATTACACAAAATGGATTCTAGAGAGCTTTAAGACATGTTATAATGCCATTACCTCCTCAAGTTCTGTTTTTGTTTCATTCACACGTTTGAATAATCCTTTATTATTATTAGTCTGACTACGTGCCAATCGCATTTCTAATTTCTACCCCTACCCCTTTATCTGCCCCTTGCCCCTTGAAACTGAGCAACAAGAAGTAGGGGTTGAAAGTAAATTGGGACACCCCTTCAACAATCACATATGTAATCAATAGTCTCCGCCAGATTTTACATAAGCATACGCGAAGAACTTTTGCCAGAAATCCAACATGGCGTCTACAACTGTGGTGGTCTCTCTTGCGTGGACTATATTGCAATATTTTTACGGTTGCTTGCAGCTAACCATTCTAGGAGGGGTATAGAAAAGTGATATGGCCAAGGGGTGTAATGGGATTCAGCCTACATCTCCAAAGCTTAAATGCTCTGTTCTACCTTGTGATGTAATGCTGTAGTACAGGGGTGTCAAAGTCATTTTGGTCCGGGGGCCGTATCCAACCAACTTTGATCCCAAAGGGGCCGGATCAGAAAACTCATTGTTATTTTTGGGGTTTATATGACATAAGTTCAAATATTTGTGCAGATAAACACAAATCTGTTACAGAAATCTTTTTTTAATTGATGAACTCTTTCTTTGACAAATCATAATATTATGAACAACCTGAAACTTTAGGATAAATGTAATTTCAACACAAAGTTTTAACATGAACTTATGCAAATAGGAATAAGTCAATTTTTCTTGGAAAATCCTGCACTCGGCTCCACTTTTTCTCATTTTTGACATTTTGCTGATGAGGTCAAAACGATCGTCCTTTAAGAGCGTTTGGAAAGAGACAAGTCTTCATTTGTGCTGCTCTGGTGGGAGGGGCCACTATGCTAAGCACCGCAGAAAATTACCAATATTTTAATAGAAAATATAATTAAAATATTTTAGTAGAAAATCAGCCGAGGGCCAGATTAAAGGTCTTGGAGGGCCGCATCCGGCCCCCGGGCCTTATGTTTGACACCTGTGCTGTAGTAGCTTTCAAGTTGACAGCTTTTAGTTCTATAGAGATTGGAAATTGCAAATGTTTCTATTGAATGGGGTGTAAAAACATAGTGGAGCAATTCTTGTATTTTCTCATGACATCACAAGGTGGAGTGTTTTTCTGTTTGAGAGAATAAATATGCAGGGTTTGTGTGCTTAACGTGGGAATGAAACAAAACAAAACTCCAGGTATGTTTTGATGAGGAAAAACATTATAACATACATCAGAGTGTAATATAGGCCCTTCAACTACAGGTGCATTTTTAATAATAATTCTCTAAGACTAAGTTGTTTTGTATTTTGTATGTTGTCTGTACCTTTTGATGAGGTGGTAGATGAGGTACTTGAGTTTGTCTTCCATTTGGGGTTTTTGCAGTGGGATGGGGTCGCTCTCATACGTCACCTTTAAAACCAGTTCTCCAAGTTTATCGAGCTGCCGTTTGATCTGGAACAGGCTCTGCACTGTCAGCGTGAACCTGGAAATATAAGAAAGAGGACGTTATTGTAAAAGTGTCCTGCCCAACGTTGGAGCTGGAACTGATCTGCCAACCATATATGTATATCCCCTAACACTTTGTTCCTTAATATCAGTCACTAGAAGATTGATATTCTATACTTCACATGTTTGAGGCCAAGTACAGAGCAGATTTAGTCTTTGGTCTAATCCTGATGATATTATTAATTTTAGCTGCTTCCCATCTGTAGTAAAAATGACTGACTATAGAATGTTGAAACTCAGCGACTTGTGAAAGGCTTGAAAACCAGTGTTCCTGTTGATTTTATGATTATTCATTTCACCTCTATACTGAATATATTATGATGTAATTTAACTACTGGATTTTTCGGACTGTAAGTCACACTTTTTTTCATGGTTTGGGTGGTCCTGCGACTTCTGCGAGTATCTGCTACTCCTGTTACTCCTGTACCACTGTCACTTCACTCTACTGTGCATGTCTACTGCAGAAAAAGCTGCGTCCTGCTGCAAGGACTGAAATATTCAGCCGAAAACTGTAATCGAGCAGCAGAAAAAAAGTTTGGAGTGAGCGAGAAACTTGTGAGGGACTGGCGGAAAGTGGGGATCGAGAACACAGCTTCACGATCAATGATGTTGTTCTCTATTCTATTCCTTATTCTATTATTCTATTACTATAACTTGTCTTTTTAAGATGAATGTCGGTTCCTGGTCTCTGATTTCATAAAATATATTTCCCCCAAAAAGTGCGACTTATATATGTTTTTTTCTTCTTCATTATGCATTTTTTGGCTGGTGCAACTTGTACACCGTAGCTCTCAAAGGGCTGGTCTATACTTAGCCTAATATTATTTTTGCATATATGTGTGAGTGGATGGGAGTGTGTACATGTGATTGTTTTCTGTGGGCTGGTTGAAAGTGGGCTTGGGTGGTTGAGAGAGTTTGGGGAATGATTAAAGGTTTCTAAGTAATTTGCGTACTTGTATTTGTACATTTTTAGCCATGTAACTGTACTTTTATTTGAGTACAAATGTGTAATACTATTTCCACCACTCACAGACTGACATAAAAACTATATAATGTAATACAATGTTTTGGATGTTAATATTCTCAGCATGTTCTGTGCGTGTAGAACAGTACCAGTTCTGCAGTTGTTCAATCCCGACAAGCTGAGGTCCTCCGATAGCTGTGATCTGTTGTCGCCGTTTCCAGTCCTGAAGCTCCGGGTACAGCTGAGAGTTCATCACATCATCGATCTCCTTCACCACAATGTCCATCTTAGACAGGACCTCCTGACACAGCCAAGGGACACAACTTTAGAATAATATTTACATGAGTAGATAAGTGGATAGAAAGACTGGCACATGATAAAACAGTGTACTTTACTACAGACCATGGTAACAGCTGTGCACACAAAGAAAGACAGATGCAGAACGTCAACAAATAGAAAGTGGCTCGCATGATTTTATTTCTGGTGTGTAATTTAAAGCAACTTAAATAAGGCTAAAATCAGTGGTTGCAAATGGTGACTGTAGATCAGCCAAATGCAAGACAGGTTTTGGACAGAGCATCTTCACAGTGAAAAGATCTGGAACACCATACCTGCTGAACTCTAACACCAACTTTAAAGAAGCTATATTATGCAAAATTGATTCATGTAAAATTTAAGCCATATTATAATGCTGTTGCCTTCTCAAAAACATACCCATTCACACATGTGTGAGTAACCCTTTAGTAACAATTTTAATGTGTGTTATTGTAAATATATTGTACTGTGCTTCATGTTGTAATGTCTAAATATGTCACTGTCTGCCTTTGTCTGTTTTACATGAGGGACCAGGGGCTCAATCTTGCCCCCAATCTTAGCACAAGCGCTAGCATTAACGAGGGGGCGTGTCCAGGTCAGACTGTACCTCGCTGAGTGGAACGATACAAATTATATGTGGGTACAATAACACCTCCGGAGCCACACGATACAAGTACACACCAGTGGAATATAGAATTTTGTATGGGCCATGACAGAAATGGCTGAGTTTGTGTTCCGAACACTCTCACATATGCGCACCCCTGTAAGCCCGTACACGCTTTTTATTTTCCTCGGTGTTCCTCTGTTGATTACGTAGCAGACCAGTGTCTATCTTATGCGCTCCCCATCCCACAGCAGATCTGCTGACCGCAGCTCTTCGCCTGGTCGCACCCGCTCCCGCCTGTCCCGGCAGTCAGCTGCTGTGTCTCTAACCTGAGGTAGGAGTTTCCACTGCTGCTACAGCTGACCGCTCACATTCTCCTCCCAGATGTCCACTGCATTTGGTCCCACACAGGTGGATGCCTCGCGGATAATGGAATACATTTATTGGCATATAAATGTTTCTGATTTTAGCGCTTTCCAAACAGACAAGGATTAATCCATTAACACACGGGGAGGGTGACTGCACTACCTGCTTTGGCCCCGCACAACTGACTGACTGCAGGTGTCAGTACAGAGCAGTGCTCATGTGCACTATCCATCTCTTGAGTCGCTGTACAAAGCTCTACTGACCGCTTCTGCCAAGAGAGAAGCACATATGAGACGTGCATCTGCTCCGCTCTGCTGTCACAGCCTAGAGATGTCAATGAATGGCCTCCACGGCTCCGTGCTGTTTTCTACAGCTCTGATGGTAGCCTGCCTACTGGTAACTAACTTTATAAACTAACCAAAGCAACACAATGGGAATAATATGATAACGAAATTGAATGGAGTTGATGACAGAAAGGGTACGAGGATGTGACGAAATCCAATATCACAGCATTAGGAGGACAGACAGGGTAAGAAAACATACTTTAGGTCAGCGCTGTCAACAGCCTCATGTGAATGAGCAGCATATGTACAGATCCAGATCAAACCAAACTATGGAGCAGGGCTGAGCTAATACAGAGAGCGGGCGAGGGGCTGTACTCTGCCCTCCTGCAGGAGGGTATCCGGACAGTGCACAAACATACCGCAAACACACAAATATATATATATGTATATTTCCAACTAAAAGAAGCCTTGAGCATGTTACATGTTGTTTTTCAGTGGACTAGTTTTATTTTTAAGATTCTGGCAATTCACTGAATGCACCACACTACACCCTCAGTCCGCTCCACTCCACCTGATATTCAGGCATGGCACACCTCTTGTTTAGAGCTCCACGCTTCACACCTGTGCTAGTGCTAAGATCGGGGGCAAGATAGGGCCCCAGGTCTACAAATGAACCCTTGGCTAGATGAGCTATGGACATGCATTGGTTGCTGTTTTAAATGTAACAATGGTCTCTGATCTGTCCATTTAAAATAAACTAATAATAATTCTTTATGAATGAAATGGGGGATAGCAGATAGTAAGCCCTAAAAATTAATCTGTTCAAAACTGCCTTCAAATAACTGCATCTCATTTTATCTTCATTTGTATTTTGTCTGTTTTGAACTGTGTGAAGTGTCTTTGAGTGTCAAAAGCTTCATACAAGTGTTATGTATTATTTTAGTATTATTATTATTATTATTATAGAAATAATACTAAACTTAAAATGAATCAGTGTTTGAAATGTCAGGACATTATTTACTTTAGTGAAAGTTAAATAGGTTCATATCAAAGTTTGCATCGACCATATTACTGCTGAGTTTACCTTCCTCTTAAAGTCAAGTCGGTTGAGCATTTCCTGGAGCCGTGTTACTTCCTGTTTCATATGATCAGAGTTCCTCTCCGCCTGGTCTAAATCACAAAATGTACATTACATAGACAAAGTATCATGTAATATCCATTGTATACTTAAAATTCAATACAACTTTCTGTGATCAAACATGCACAAGTTTAGGGAAATAAAAAAGTGCCTTGGCCAAGGACACAACAAGAGTATTCACTTATGGAAGTGGGGATTTGAACTGCTAATCTCTGGATTAGTGGACAAACACTCCAAAAAATATGAATAAGAATTACTATTACTAAAATAAATGCTAGTTATAATGTGTACACCTGTGCATCATTATGTGATATTTTCTATGTGTATCTGTTGGAGAATAAAATTAACACAGAGCAGTGGGTGTGTACCCGTGGAAAAGGATGTTGATTGGCGCAATGACGTCTTGAATATAGGAGAATAAAGATAAGTGAGATATGGGTGAATCACTTCAAGAGGGTAAATGAGAAGTGAAAACAACTATAATATGGTTGATTTTGCATAAGTCCCCTTCATGTAACAGATATCACTGAATCCCAACAGGCACTTGCAATGGGGTGCTAAATATATAGTCAGTTTAAGTTTCTAATAAACATGCAAATGTAAAATAAATTATTAAAAGTTTAAAGAGCTTGACTACATCTAACATTTCAAATACATTTTATAAATGAATCTGTGCTCACCTCGAGACTGAAGCGTCTTGTAGCGAAAGTCAAAGTCGTCCTGCATGTCCTCAATGAACTTCACTGCTTGGTCCATGAGCTACAGATGACCACATTAATACATTATTTACATATTTAATCATATATTTTATGTATGGTGAGTTTTTTACCTGCACGCTGCCTCGGATCAGCGCCACACGGTTGTCTATGTTTTTCTGCCTTTCCAAAGCCACAGAGTTCTGCAGTGACTTTTCCAGTGGACCCTAAAACACAACCATCATCAGGCATGAATTATTTCACATCTTTGTCCCCAGACTACAGCCGTGCAGTTAATCATTTTACTACTGATCAAACTTATTTTGGAGGAAGAAATGTATTGTTTGTATTAAATGGTAATGGTTAACTTCTTGAAGATAAACAATAGTTTTAACAACATTTTAAAGACATAATAAGATTTAATCCAACATTTTATTTGGTCAGAATGAGGCTGCTTATCGTGATGTGTAATTTGGCAAGTTTATGAACCCATTCTCTTACAAAGAGAATTAGAGATTTCTTTCAAAACGTTGATATCCCATAGAGTTATATTGCTGTGTATCAGATGACAACACAACATTCTGTAGGCCAATAATATTTAATAGATGGGGCAGCTAAAATTAATTGTTGAAACATAGATTTCTTATGTAACAGTATTAAGTCACTTACTAATAATGATCAGATTCAACATTTGCAAATTTACTTTATGGTCTTGTCTTTCTTGTGATAGCACAATATAATCAATAAGAAAACTTTCTCTTGCACCATCAAATTCTAGAAAGTGAACACAATCAATAAAAAACAGTAGCTTCCTCTTCCTGCTTTTTGAGTGAATGCGTCAAGTTTTTATTGCTGTTACGCTCTGATTCCCAGTAACCTCTATGATAAAGCCTGCACGGGGACTTTCCACCCAAACAAACGGTCGACTCAAACCTGTTCTTGCATGCAGGCACTTTCCAGGATCCTCTGCTCCTCTTTCAGACAGCTGCAGATGACACGGGCCATGACTGCTGGGTTAGACGCGTATTTCACCTGGAAAATATCACTAGGTTTCAGTTTACATCACAACATTGTATAGGACATATATTTAAAGGTCTTATATTACGCAATATTTACTCCTGAACTTTAAGTCATGTTAGAATGTTGTTACCTCCTCAAAAACATACCTGGAGCTGTGCTTTGTTTCGTTCACACATGTTTGAGTAATCCTTTGTTAGTCCGTCTACATCTCCAAAGCTCAAAATGTCATGAATCAGTCTTCAAGTTAACAGCTACATTTGACCTTTTGTTCAGTAGAGATTGGAAACTCTAGAGCTGACATTATCCAAATGATTCTAGTGAAGGTGTATGGAGTTTCAAAACACAGTGGAGCACTTCTTGTATGACATGACATCCCAAGGTGCAATAGAGTGTTTTCTGTTTGAGAGAAGAACTCAGCCTACATATGCAGGATTTGTGTGTTAAACATGTGTGAATGAGATAAAAACACAACTACAGGTATGTTTTTGATGAGAAAACATCATTATAACATAGACAAGAAAATAACAAAAAAAATATATACATATAGGCCCTTTAATACAGATCAGAGCAGCTACAATGAATACTGTTAAAATGCTGATTTCTGTTGTAACATAATGAATACTTGGCTCTATGTTCAATTAAATCAATGCTTTCCAGTGACATCATGCTGGGAGTGTTCTGCATGTTTCACATTTGTATATTTCTATGTTACTCTAGTTTCCATGGTAACACAATGCACACATTAGAAAAACAGATAAAAAAGATTTGAGACTGTCTGAAAATACAAATGGATTGAAACATTTTCAGGAGCCTGTGATCATTCATGGTCCTGTGTAGGGGTTTGATTTTCAATGCAAATAAAGTCATACAAGCACAACTCACCTCACCTCACCTTTCGTGGTCAGATTGTGTTAAATAAAGCTCACAGTATAAGCATCAAACCCCCAGAGAATGTTGATGACAAAATTCAGTCCCTCAGAATGTGAGAAAACATGCCCATAAAAGTCTTGGTTGGGGTTCAAATATCAACCAAAACATGAATGAATTTACATTGAAAAAAAAAAAAGTGATGTATAAATGCATTTTATAAGCATACAAGGCTCTAATCTAATTTAGTTTTAAAGATGTACTGTGTAACTGCCAAGTGAAGGGTTCGCTTTCTGCTTGCCATCATAAAATTGCATATAATGATTCTTTCCTTTTGTTAAATCCTATAAATATTGAACCATATTGTCTATCAGTATATCAATACTTTCTGCTTTCTGCTATAATTAAAGGGCTCATATTACACTATTTTCTGATCTATGTTATAATGTTGTTTCCGCATTACAAACATACCTGGAGCTGTGTTTTGTTTCATTCTTGTTATATCGTGGTAATACGGGAAGTAGTTTTGTTTGTTTTGTTGTTTTGAAACTCCATACAACTTCATTAGAATCATTTAGATAATTTCAGCCCTGAAATAACATGACTCACAAGAATCCATTATGTCTAATACAGGACCTTTAAATGTGTAGTAAATGTAGTGTTTTCGCACAATCAAAGCCTTTAAAAAGTAACATTTAAAACAGAATAAGAGGAAAACCCTGCAGAGTTGAATGACAGAGGAATCCCACTTAACTGGAATTAAAGTTATGATGTCATCTCTTATTGACTTTTTGGCTCAAAGAGGTGGGGCTTAACTGGAAATCAAACCACGAAGTGTTACTTGAAAATGGTTTAGATTCAATTAAAATACAGATTTGCAAAACCAGTTTGTCCATCAACTGAATATGAATAGGGCATTTGTAACAAGGAGTGGTAAACTGTAATTACTCATTTCAACAACTGTTAGTAGGATTATGGTGTAATTTTCATTGATTATTACTATGTGAATTCATGAAAAGAGTTTAAGGACCAAGCGGAACATTTGGGCTAACAATTCCATTTCATCATGAAAAACGAAATCAACAGCGTCTATAAGCAATTCAGACATTATGTGTACCAGATCACCTTATATTTAAACTGTGAAAGAAAGAGAATGTTTTTATATTTATATTAAAAACACAAGACTGTACAATTGATCAAATCGAAATGAACTTGAATGGAAGCAACAGTCAAATCACAATTTCTGAAGTGTCGTAGTTTCCTCCACAAACTATCAACTCTTATTCTGCATAAAAGCTGCTAACCCTGTATTTTAGGTTATATGTTCTGAAAAGTGATTCTTGTATAAGTTTGTCAGTTCATATTTCAGTCTTTCGGTCAGTTCGCCTGGACGTGTTTAAAATGTGAACTTTAAACAGAATAATATTATTAAAACATCGAATCTATTCCATTTGCAATGCTTGTCAGAAAAAGCACTATCAGATATTTTGTTTTCAATAGTTCACCCTGACACAACGTCCATGTAGACAATACACTGATCACGAACTAAAAAGATGGGACAGAACAGAAGCCCAAACTAAAGGCCTGTCACAATAACTTAAATAAATATTGAAGTACAATATTAATATCCCAATTAATAATAATACTGAAACTACTCTATACACCTGACACAGTAAACCTAGAGCAGGATTAGCCCATTTGTTGATACGTAAGCCTTTGTTGAAGTGAACCATATTGTTTGTAATACAGTACATAAATAGTATAATACTTGAATAGTTAGTTCTAATATCTATAAGTATAAAGTGTCATAGATGTACATTATTTGACCAACTACAGCTCAAATGCTATGAAATAGACTTAGCAGGGGTGGGACGAGATACAATTTCCACAAAACAAGACGAAATGAGACCCAATACTGGATCTACAAGAATGAGACAATTTTCACATTATTTACTACAAATAAATTGTGCAATCAAGCTCTTAATTTTATTCTCATGTATTTTTTTTTTTATTATTTTACTTTATTTCCTATTTTTGCTGTAGCACTGCTTTTTGTGACTACAACCTCTTAAAAAAAAATTATCTCACCAGTGCTTAACTTTTAATACAATCCAAATGTGGAAAAAAATCTCACAAGATCATTTTCAGCATTTGTGCACAATCTTGAGGCAATATTATCTCGCAAGATCTTGTGGCATGAGATCCAGGATTTAGCACAACTAAAAAATAAGAACTCTCTGCTGGTGCAAAGAAAAGAAAAGGCACATAGAATATTTATTGAGCCTGAAAAAGAATGGCTCCTTCTATGTTGAACAATACAGTTGATATAGTAATTATCGTGACAAACCTACGAAACTCGCGTATATATCCAGGAAACATATAATACTACTGCGTTATTGTGATCAAATTCCCATCATGGGTCAATAACATCTTAACTGAAAACTTTCCCTTTGCCACATCACCCTAACAGTCATTTCTTTACAGTGTTGGCATTTACAACACAGAATCGATGTCAGCCATGTAAATACACTGCCCATTCAAAGACGCATGGAAAAAGTACCAAGACGTCTTCAGTAAAAGGGGGAACACAGAGATGACTGAAGAGAGAACTCACCTACTCACTTTAGTCACTAACTGGGTCAGGGCAGTAGCTCAAAACTTTCCAGGATTTGGGACAATTTTATGAATGAAATAGGAATAATAGTAGAAACTGAATATGGCATTTATTTCCTTTAAAATAAAAGAAAATCAGACAAAACTGATCCAAATGTGTGATGTAGGTGTTATTTATCTTTCAAGTAATTACAGAGCAACAACAAACATTATGGAACTTTCTAGGCCAACATCACTAAATAAGTCTTATTACATCGATTTATCTGCCTAACCAGCATATCGAGGGCAGTGATATTTTGAAACCAATATCCGATCCAGCAAATTTATCTGTGTCGATGGTGATATCTGATACAGGATACAATGAATATCGGATCAGTGAATCCCTGAGATTTGGACCGGGCACCATCTACTCTTTACAGTTGGCACATTTCTCCATGTTGGCCTCTCTGCACAGACTCCCTGTCAGCTTTAGGACTGATTTTAAGATTGTGTTGATGGTTTTCATGGTCTATATTGGTTGGGGATGACACTTTGGCTGTAGCTGGTCCCAGTATTAGCTTGGCTATTAAAACAGACCAATCTTTAATATGTGTATACCTTTGTTGAAACCTCATTTGCAGTGTGACTTGGACTCGAGTCAGATTTGAGTCTAGGACTTGAGACTTGACTTGATAAAATGGATTAAGACTTGGGACTTGACTTGGACTTGAAGGTCAGTGACTTGGGACTTGACTCGGACTTGAGGCTTGTGACTTGAGACGACTTGAGAAGCACTTTTAAATCTGAATTTGTTCTATTTTGACTGTAATGATTCACTCTAAGATCTTGTCAAGACATTTAAAAAGGAAAAATTTGCATATCTACTACTCTCTCTCTTATATACTCTATAAATACTCATATAAATATACTGTGATTTATAAGTACAATTTATCTTAAAATTCATATAATTTGCAAAAATCTAAGCTATATTTGGTACTTTGGTTTAAGGACTTTAAGGAAATGACTTGCAGTTCAAAGTAGACGACTTATAAGCCAGTGACTTGAGACTTGCCTTGGACTTGTCTGTATTTGACTTGGGACTTGACTCAGACTTGATGTCAAAGACTGGAGACTTACTTGAGACTTGCAAAACGACGACTTGGTCCCACCTCTGCTCATTTGTATGCACTGGTTTTGAACACAAGCTGAACTGAACATTTCTATTGTTTTATTTATTGTATTATTTGTTATTGTTTAGTTTCATAAGATTGCATTTTACATTGCCTTTGTACAGCAATCTGGGCAGCTGTGGTTATTTTTAGAACTGCTTCATGAATATATTTGCATTGACTTTTGACTGTAAAGTACACAAAACTTTTCTGAGTGGGAACTTTGGAAATATTGTGGTAATGGTCCAGATGAAACTTGATTGTGTTAAGTCACTTTTGTTTCAAACAGCTTTACAAACACATATGTGCCTAAAGACCACATATACAAGTATTGAATGAAATAACCAAATAAGGCTATTTTAATTTCACTCACAACTAAATCAAACCACATAAATTCACCTTGTAGCCGCAGGAGTCTGATCGCTTCCTCTCAGAGCTCTCGGCTTTGACTCAGACAGGAAGTATAAGCGTTGTCGCTATGTTTTTAGAAATGCATTTATTCATTTCAGCTGTGAACTCAAGGTTCAGAACATGCCCTCTGCAAGAATACAAAGCTTCACTTATGATTTCCTTAATGTTTTGTTTGTTTATTGCTTGTGTGAGTTGTAGGGTGTGTTTTTGTTGTTGTTGTTGTTGTTGTTGTTTCTCAAGAATCCTATTTACTTTTTTGCAACCAGAGAGAATTCTTTGTTACATACATTGTCAACTGGAAGAGGAATTATCAATTTAAAAATATCAAAACTTTAAATTAGAGCTGCACGATTTAGGAAAAATATCTAATTGCAGTTTTTCTGAAAAGCATTGTAATTGCGATTAGATTTGCAATTTATGTAATAACAGGATTCTGATTAAAGTTTACATTTTTAACACATCCAAAAATACTGAAGCATGAACTGACAACTAAAACAAGAATCACATTTCAGAACATGTTTGCACAGAGCTAAACGACAAGGTCAGCAGTTTTTAATGCTGAATAAGATAATATATTTATTTGTTTATGGTAACTGAAAAACTGCAGCCTTTGTGCATTGTCATTTCTATTTAATTGCGATTGATCCTGCAGCCCTACTCTAAATGAGAGTATTAATGTTCAAAAACACAATAGCCTCTTACTATCGTAGCACAAAAATGTATGTCACACGGGACTTGAATAAAATGTCCAAGGCACATTGATCAGAAAAATAAAAGTCCTTTATTATTATTTTTAAGTAATGATGAAGACCTTCATAGATTGAAACATGTTGATGACCCATTTGTAATAATGAAGTAGAGATAAGTAGATAAGTAGAGCCAATATGCATTTTTTTGACACCCAATGCTGAGATTCAATTGTTTATAGTCCACAGGAACCGATGGTTAATGACCTCTGGGGATAGTTTTGGGAAGAGATGTTGAGCTGATTTAGGTAATTTTTGTCAAATTATTGAATCAAAAGTTAGCACAAACTCATTCATTCTTTTACTAAAACAGTTCAAACAGTACAAACAGAGTCCTATTTAGTCCCATTTTTGCAGAGCCCTCTTTGGACTAAAGCATTCAAACAAACCTTTATACATACATTTTTCACGTATATTTTGGGCTGCTGGTTTGGCCAAACTAAACAGCGGCCACTACTCGAGATTTGAGGCTGATAGCCAATATGTTATCGGGCCAATATATCAGCCAACCAATATATCGGTCTGTCTCTGTAATAAAGAACTCAAGCCTCATGTGACATACATTTTTGTACAATAGTAGGTGGCTGATATTGTATTTGACATGTTTCATCTATCTAATCTTATAATAAAATTGCTAACAATACTATGATATGTGTAGAATCCCTCAGTCATCCAAGTAGAATCCATGGCAGAAGAGAAATTCAATTTGGTGGTTGACAAAATGATTTTCTCCTTTGCCAATACTATGATACTTACTGTAAGTACTTATTGCTTAAACTTAAACTTATTGCTATTATTGCTAGTGCACTGATGGTAAACCATAAAATTGCTGAAAAACAAATCTTACTACAGTTATAAATTAAGTCACCTGAACCTGAACCAGTGCTACTACTAATGACTAGTAACACTTCAGTTGTTGTCTATCCGCTACAGCAGCCTTGTGCAACTACTAAAACCACAGTTACTTTACTACTACTACCGCTGCTACTAGAAATCATACACACCAAAAATACAAAGTCCTTTCTAATGCTGTAGTCACCCTGGTCAGTGTGACTTCCTGTTAACCCCTGAGAAATTATATAATAGAGCTACTTCTCCTTACATTGTAGGCACTTAAAAACATTGCAAGAGAATGCCAGTTACAAAAGTAGTTATTTTAAACTACTATTTTAAACTACTGTAACTACCAAGCTGACTACAACTAGTACTACTACACTAATAATGATAATGTGTTTAATATAGAGTTTGTGCACACTCAAAACTGCATTGCATTTTTCATTCACTTTACACCTGCTGCCGGTAAGCAACACCTATTAATACACTGAAGCTTATGTCATCAACATTCCATGGGGGTGTGATGTTAACTGTAGGCACTGCCCTGTTTGAGGATTTGTTGGATTATTGATCTTTAGTTTAACACAATCTGACCATAAAGAACGGTTTTAGCTGAAATTACAGCAGGTAATCTGATTTGTGTTGTTAAACAATAGCCAGGCTGGTGCCACCTAGTGCCTCCACTCAATTTAATTTCTCTCCAGCAACTAGGTCAGGAATCAAAATACACTAGACGGTTTGCAAGAACCCCGGAAGTGCAAGTTCAGGCACCAGTCAATCAGCGAAGAGCCACACATTCTGTGTTGCAACAATTCTCAAGATCGAGGATTTAAAGTCAGAACAAAGAGAATGTTTGAATGCTGAATTTTGGTGAATGGTGAATTTTATCAAGAGGAAGGGCATTATTGTCCTTCTTCCTATGGGATTTGGGAAAAGCTTAATACGCCAGCTAGCTTCGTTAGCGGCGCATTATATACGTCAAATAGCAGTGATCGGTTAAATGAGGAATCCTAATGTTGCGAGGTCAGACTCACTTTCACTTCATAGAAACCGGCTGATGAATCAGGATAGTTAAACAACTCCCTCTCATATAAAATAACAATCGCATTAGTCAACAGTTTTCCTCATTTTGTTGAAAATCAAACACCTAAACAGGACCATGAACGCATGTACTGATCACAGGCTCCTGAAAATGTGCTGTTTAAATGCATTTTGAATTTTTTTCTTCAGTTTTCAGGTTATCTTAAAATGGATTTCACAGTGTTTGCTAATGTGTGCATTATGTCTCCATTATAAGTGATGAACATTCCACCAATACACATACATGTTGAACACCCCCAGCGTGATGTCACTGCAAATTATAATATTAATACTGATGCCCTGGGGCAAACTGACAGAAATATGGTGGCCAATCTGCGCCCAACTACTATCACTACTCCTACTTGGTGTTACCTGTAGTTGTTGGTGTATTATCTTCATGTTGTGTCTCTGTAGAAAGTTTTGTTCCTGTGATCGGACCTTCTCCATTTGGGTCAAAAGGTTACTGAACATCACCGCCGCAACAGAGTCATCATTAGAGGCAAGCTCCCTGAAAAAATAAACACAGGAAATCATTCACTCTCATAAAAACTTGGGGTGCGCAGAGGGGACCATTAATAAATGACCTTGACTGGACATTTTAAAGGGCCTATATCACGCTATATTCTGATCTATTATCTATTTATAATGTTGTTTCCTCATCACAAACATACCAGGAGTTGTGCTTTCATTCACACATGTTTATTAATATACAAACCTGCATATTTAGGCTGAGTTATTCCCATGTAAGTGCTGTGCTGTGATTTTAAACAACATACACATTCTTTACAATCACTTGGATGATTTCATTCCTGAAATTGGCTATCTCTACTGAACTAAATCTAACCTCCTGGGAAGAAAAAAGTGTATTGCAGTATATATTTTTTGTGATTTTTCTATCTATTTGGAGGTAAAGGAACATCTTAGTATTTAGATTTTGTTAATTTTGTTTTTATTTATAATGTTATAACATGTGCTCTATAATATACACCGAGGACATTTTGGTGTTAAATCCATGTGACGTTAACCTGACAATAACAACTTTTTTGATGACCAACATCTCTAACAAGCTTCTACAGTCACCTCACGTTTTTAGACCCCCTAGACTTTTTTTTTTTTCTTTTCTAGACATGATAGTAGCCTATAACCCCCCAGCCCTACTAATGTCCACTCAATGTCCACTATAAAGGACACAAATTAATGGGCTGGGTCTCAGAGGGATAAAAGGTTGCTGATAACTTGAAAACTACCACTACATGACATTACAGGGTGGAAGGGAGCATTTTGAGTTTTGGGGTTGTAAACACATTAATAAAAAGGATTACTCAAACATGTGTGAATGAAACAAAACACAACTCCAGGTCTGTTTTTGAGGAGATAACAACAACAGGCTATAACATGTCTAAAAACTACATTCTGTTTAATACAGGACCTCTAATTAGTCAGTGTAATGGTTGCAAATATGATTTTACTAGAATATAGACTTACTTTTAAATGTATGTAAGTTTTGAGATAAATAAGACTAGTGTTTATTTTCATATGAAGCAGTATTCTAAGTGGAGGAGAATCATTTTAACACCAAAGGTTCACACGAATATAGAAATGTTTTTTTCTGTAACGAGTTATAAAATAATACTGATGAAATTAGATGGACTCACCAGTCTTGAGCCTCGATCCAGGAGGCCAGTCCCTGTCTGATGTCCATGGGAAAGTTATCATCATATAAGTAATCCACATGCTCCAAGTGCCGTATCTCTAACTGCTGAATACGCTTCCACTGGCTCATACTACGACAAATACAGCTATGCTATCAAAATTACGCGAGCAAATTTTTTGTTATTTAACAGCAAACTCGAATTTTGACCGTTCACAACTTGCTTCAACGCTGCGCACTTGCTACCAATTAAACCATGTGCAGTCTTTTCCCTCTTTTTGACTTTCGTTTTCAGAGCGAGCGTCAATCGTGCCGTTTCAGGAAATCGGTTCTTTATTTTCTAGTATTTTACGAAACGAACCCGCCCCCACTATAGTGGAAGTATATGGCCCCCACCTGAACAGCAGCGAAGCGAAATTACGCGCAGGACGCACACACCTTTTACCGGTAGCACAGGGCTGGTCTAAGCATATGCATAAGGTACTTAATGTGAGATATTTTGTTTTTATTATTTTGGTATTAAAGGTCCCATACTACGCTATTTTCTGATCTATGTTATAACGTTGTTTGTTCATCACAAATATACCTGGACTTGTGTTTTATTTCATTCACACATGTTTAACACACATATTTAGGCTGTGTTCTTCTCTCAAATGAAAAACACTGTGTAAGACTTTATGATGTCATGTCGTAATACAGGAAGTGCTCCACTGTGTTTTTAAACTCCATACACCTTCACTTGAATCGTTTGGATCTCTACTGAACAAAATATAAAAAAAAGCAGGTTAATAAAAGGTAGTTCTTAACTGGAAAAGGTGGAACAGAGTATTTTGAGCTTTAAAGATGTAGAGAGATAATAATAATAAATAAGAAATCAAGCAGGTGTGAATGAAACACAATATTTAGGCACAATTTTCTTGACAACATTCTAACATAGAATAAAGATCACAATCATATTTAATTACATTTTAAGTAACCTATAGCAAGAGATACCCAGGACCATTATACATTTAAACGAGACAGCCCCCCACCTACTACAGGGTTTCAGTGCCATTTAGAATTTGTAAGATAATATTATGGCTAATAAATAATGCACACATCATAAATGGTGCCGTTACCCCCACCTACTAGATTTTTTAGCTAAATGGCCCTAAACTGCTGGCACAGGCACCAGATCCCACCAACTGCTCGTCCTCTGCTGCTGGAGTGGGCTTGGGTGTTGTTTGTGCCTCAAGCTGGAGAAGAGAGTTGATCTCCTGGAAGCGGAAGGCATAGCGCAGGACTGAAGGCTGTTGTTGCTATGCCATACAGCTATCACAACTCCTGGAGTCTCCTCTGTCTGTTCGCTCTAGATGAAGTACAAGGTGTAGCCCACATCTCCCTGTAGTTCCTTAACTGGGGGATGTACTCCTCCAGCACCTCAACTTGGTCAGAGGCATTTCCTACTCTCACAGTCTTTTCCGTCATAGGGGCACTGCGGTCCCTCAAGGACGGATTGTCTCTTGGCCTGCTCAGAAGAGCCCTGTCACAGGAAATAAATAAAAAATAAACAATGTTCTTCATTTTCTCTACAACAACAGACAAATGTGTTATACCCCTCAGATGAATTCATACTACATGCACCTAGATCACTAATTCATACTTATAAGGCCAAGCTTTTAGTGTTGGCATAGCTACACATATAGGTCTCCTCACAGAATATTAAATTGTGAGCAGTTAAATACATTTTGGATACCTCAAAAAGCAACCTGAAGGACTAAATAATGATTTATGAGTGAAATAGGATTCTCTAGTTACTCAAAGAATAAATATGTGACAAAAACAGGAACACAAATATTTGTAATGCTGCATATGAACTTTAAACGCAAATGTGTGGGCTGTCAGCGCTCCAAAAGTTCTACAGTACACACAACAACAATATACAAATATATACACGTACACCATAGACTGTATAAAAATATATTTATGTGTAGAGTCTATGCTCCACACTCCTCGGAGCACAGGGCGTATTGCTGCCATCCACTGGTCATCGGTGGTACTGCAGTAGAGAGAAGCTTAGCTCACACTTCGAAATGAAAATTATTGACACAACCAGAGCTCTGGAATTATTAAATGAGAGCTTTGGTCCATCTTGAAACAGAGGACGCTTTAATGTTTCCTACTTGTTTGTGAAGTATCTCACTTACTAGAGTGAAGGGGAAAGCACCTTCAGAAGCATTCTCATTTCGAGAAGTGTAGTGACTCTTTTATTGGCGCACTTTGAACACAGCACAGTGGGTTAGTAGTAGTGAAGGTAGTAGTATGTAAAATAACTACTAAAAATAGACCACTTCATATAAAGGAGGCAAATTATGCTTTTCAGTGCCGAAATCTATGACTGACATCACACTCCCATAGTCGACTTCTTTATACAGTCTATATGATAGACGCTAGAACTAGAAGGCCTGTGTTTGACTTGACTTGGACTTGAAGTCAAAGACTTGAGACTGACTTGACTTACTTGCAAAACATTGACTTGGTCCCATCTCTGGAAACAACTGAACTAAATCAGCAGTGTAAACAGGACTAAAGGGGCTGTCGGGATAGTAGTGTAAGTTCAACATCTAATTGCTGAAAAAAAAAACAGAATTGTGCATGATATATGGCGATAATATTCATATATACGGTTTATGAACCCAACTAAAACTCGCGGCTACTACTGTCGCAGACCGTGACGTCATCAGTGCGCGCTAGCAATCAGAAGGAGGGCTGCGCTGTTGCACGTTGGCGTTTATTAAGATTATTTATTTTGTATTTCTTTCTGTGTTAAAAAACTTAGCGTAGAAATGTCAGTGACAGAGATGTTCAGTTATATCCAGGGTTTCCTAAGCGCGGACCAGGATGTTAGAGAGGTAAGAAGTGTAGATTTTTAGCTCCAAAGCCTGCAGCATTAGCTGTTAGCCGCTAGCACATGCATCTGTCATTTTGATATTGAAACATTTTATTGCATTAGGAACGGTGTAGTGTTATATGCCAAAATAGCCCTGCATTGTAGCATTTTTAAAACACTGGTATTCAATGCAATTTATCATATGTACTTTATGTGGTACATGAAACAAAATCACTTTGTAATATTTTGGTTACATTGCATAATATACATTAGAACACAGTATAAACTTTTTCTAAAACCGTGGTTAAATCTCTTTACTTTACTTGGATTGCAACTGTGTACCTAAACTATGCATCCTTATAGTGAAGGGTATATGCCACCTTTGGTGCTGTTATTGCTTTGCCTGGAATTGCCAGTATGGCATTACACATTAAAATGTTTTAGGTGATATTTTGGAGCAATAAAAACAGTGGTTGTGAACTAATTGATGGCTGTACATGTTTAATACTGTACTGTGGAACATTCCAGGCAATATAATAACATCTCCATGTTGACAAACAGGTGACAGACACCCACCCAACAGAAAAGTTACATTGTGCTCCTTTCACAACACCAAAGTTCCACCACTTGAGGGAGCCAATGTTGAAATGCATTTTTCACAATGAACAAAATTTTAATGCTTGCTTTTCCATAGGACATCCGTAAAGTGGTCCAGACCTTGGAGCAAACAGCCAGAGAAATCCTGACAGTTCTGCAGAGCGTCCACCAGCCCACAGGCTTCAAGGAGAGTGAGTAAACAACTACTAATGTGGTTTAGATTTTTATTATTAGACTTGGACTTAGACAAACTTTATTTATCCACAAGGGAAATTACTTGGACACTGTAGATCACACATCACAATATATTATATATACATTATTAATGTATTTATTCTTTTATATTTTAAATGTTTTCTTCTTTCCTTAGTTCCCAGTAAATGCACAAAGGCCAGAGAGTTGTTCTGCACAGTTAGGACGCAGCTATCAGAGCTTAAAACGAAATTTCCTGTGGAGCAGTATTACAGGTAATTTTTGAAACCTTTTTGCACACTTTTCATGTTTAATTGCTATTAAAAAAGAAGAAATTATTATAGTATTTATTTTTTTATATTCCTTTTCTTCTTGTCAGTAAATAAAACCTTACCGTTTTCCTTACAAACAAAATTATATGCAATGGATGTACAGGACAGCTAGTATTATGAATGCTAATAGATTGCTAATAGAAAGCTGATGATTGTGAATTGTGTCCAGGTTCCACGAGCACTGGCGTTTTGTTCTGCAGCGCCTCACGTTTTTGGCGGCGTTTGTCGTTTATCTGGAATCTGAGACTTTGGTGACGCGAGAAGATGCCGCTCAGATCCTTGGCAGTGAGTACAAATGCAACTTTACCAAGAAACAGTTCTTAACTGACCTGTTTTTATTTCCATGCATTATTAATCTGACTGGAGAGAAACAGAAAGTTGTTAAAAGTATCAAAATTCAGATACTAATCAATACTACAACTAGTATAGAAACTAGACACTCATTTAGGCAAGTATCAATATTAAAAAATAGTTCCACTACCAGGACAGAAATCAATGAAATTTTCTGAACAGCTTTCGAATGATCTTGAGCTGTATCAGAACAAGTATAAGAGCACATAGACGAGTATATGCCCATGGACCACTATGGAACCTACCTGGACAACTGAGGGATTACACAGATAGGAGGCCACATGGTAATATAAAACAAAGTACGATGATTTAATGTTGAAAACTATTTTCTACTGTTTAACTAAAGAGTGTTTTTAAATCTTGTGGTATCTGAATCGGTATTGAGTATCAAGTTTGTTCCTTAGCTTTGAGTTTGGAATTTTTTTATCATGGCAATAATAAGAGTCAAACCAATAGATGTATACATTGATTTAAATATGACTGTAGAGGTCTTAAATCACCCCACTCACGGGTCATTGTGAAATGTTTTGTGTTAAATTACTGTTCTCGTTTCTGATGTGTGTTTTCTCCACAGTCGAGGTGGTCAGAGAAAAAGGCTTTCATCTGGACATAGAGGACTATTTGGCTGGAATCTTAATTATGGCCAGTGAACTGGTAAGTCTTACAACATACACTAGATAGTTGGTCTAATTAAATATTGATTTAGCAAAATAAGTGTTGTCATTTATTTTTAACAGTCTAATTATAAAGTATTATAAAGCATTTTTGGCAAGTTTTGGCCTTTGTTTACATTATGGTTACTATATTACAATTACAGAATTACCTCTACGTATGTCGTATTTGCTGCCCTTGTCCAACCAGGAAGTAAAACTATAAACTTTACAAAAATTTAAAAAATTGAGAAAACTAAGATTTTTAGTAACATTTTAAATGTAAGGATGTTTAATTGAAATGAGTAGTCTAACCTGTCCTATGCACTATCTCTTGTCTAGTACAAAGATCTCACCATTTGTGTGATTTAAACTTGCACATGTCTGTTTTAGTCCCGCCTTGCTGTAAACAGCGTCACGGCTGGAGACTACACTCGCCCAATCCGAATCTCAAACTTCATCAATGAACTGGACTCTGGTTTTCGGCTCCTGAATTTGAAAAACGACCCTTTGAGAAAGCGCTACGACGGCCTCAAATACGACGTGAAGAAAATTGAAGAGGTGGTGTACGATTTGTCCATTCGTGGTTTGGCAAAAGAAGCAGAGACTGAAGCTAATAAGTAGTGACTGAAACTGGACGCTGGATTTTTGGATTTTGGGGTTAAGATCTTTTTCTATGGGCTCAGCCTGGACTTAAACTCAGGCTATCAGAAGCCCCAAATAGGTGGGTTTGTGAGTTGGGCTTAGAAGTTGTACAAGATTTCTAATTAGAAGTGGGCGATATTGACCAAATGAATACCTCCATTAAATTTTTTTATTTTGTCTTTTTGATTCTTTTGATAACAAAAATCTTGTATTTGGACAGTCTATCAAAAATGCGCTTAACAGTTTTATAAACATGAGGTTCTGAGGTTCAAGTAATAGTATTAAGTAAACGTAAAACACAAAAGTGCAAAAATGGTATGCAGGAAATAGGAATAGGGATTTGCCAATACAGATACTAGAATTGAATATCGGCAGAGTTTTTAATAGGAAGTAATAAGACTATTTACTGACTGATTTTGGCCTTGAATGTCTCATAATTTTTGATCTTTCATTCATACAAAGCTGTTCAATAGTTATTTGCAGGATAAATAACACAGTTGGGTCATAACTTATTATACAATTTAACAGTGTTTTAAGGAAATAGGTGCTAATTTTAATCCCTACACTAGTATTGGTTAATATCTAGTATCGGCAGATACTTAAATCGAAAGTATTGACATGAGTATTGGAAATGAAAAAGCTGGACCCCACCATATACAGATGACACTGCACTTTTTTTTTTTCTTTTTTTTTTTTATCAACAAATGTAACAACTTTTTGACTGTTCTTTCAGACAGTATAGCGTATATATTCTCATTTTCAAAACATGGAAAAATCAGTATATTGCCCACTTCTAATGTAATTCATAATTTTCAAAAGTAAAATGAGTAGTTCTTGATCACATTGGGCAATAATTATGCCTTATTTTACATTCCTCCATTTCATCTGCAAACTTTGATGGTGATATGGTAGTCTGACTGGACATGTTACACAAAGTCAAATCAACAGTTAATCACATTCAAGTGATTGGAAACAATGCATGTATTAAGTGTTAAGTAATGCCTTTCTATTAGCAACAATTAGACAGTCCAATAAGACAGCTTGAATACATACATTTTAACTCTAAAAAGGGCACAGTGCATATAGATAGGATGGATTTTCTAAACTGAATAATTGCATGATTTTGAATTTACATCTTGAAAAGGTGCAGAATTTCAAGTAAAGTAGAGCCAATTAATTTGAGTCAAAAACACATTAATTTTTCAAATCATCCTAGAAATGATCATAAGAGACCAATGTTAACTTTTCTGTGTGCTTATAAGACCTGGTTACTGTTTGTGCCTGATGAGAAGACAATGGGGTCTTGAACTGCCATTTTAGTTTTCACCACCAGATGCCACCAAAGCCAACTCACGTTCCCTTTAAATCAGTCTGTAGTTAATATTAACAACTTGACCGAGTTGCCCATTGCAATTTAAGGAGCTACAGCTACACATGACAAGCATAAGGGTTATATATTATGCAAAATTGTAAAAGTTCTGTTTTTAAAGAGGGGGTATTATGCAAAATTGACTTTTTGAGCATGCCATGTTATAACATTTTTCCTTCATCAGAAAAATGTCTTAAGATGTTTGTCATCAGTGCATGTTTGAGTAATTTATCTCTTCCAAAACAATAAAAGGTAACATGGTGATCTAAATCTGTTATGTGTTAGCGTTAATACCCCATCAAAGTGTAATACCCCTCTTTGAAGTCAACTTTAAACTAAAAAAAAATGGAAACATCTTGCACTATATAGGACCTTTAAGTTTGGTTGCAGTTTGCTTATGAGAGGCAATTTGTGTAATGTAATGATTGTAGTTTGAATTAAGTCAGTTCTAAGTGTTTTTGTTTACAGTTTTGACACAAGTGCATATCAATGTTTCCTTATTTGAAAGTTGTCAGCCATTATCAACTTGTTTTCTGTTTAAAATGGTCACCTCACTCTGTATTATCAAGCTATAAAGCTGCATTTTGTGTGTGTATTCCTGTTGTCAAATGCATTCAACTAGGCGAAGCATCCAAAGGCCTCATTTAAAGCATGAAAATGTCCAACTTTAGTAATGCAATAATTCAAAAGTTATTTCTATTTTTGAAAAGTAGCATTGATTTGTCCTGATTTTAATATGCATAAGGCTTTTTCTCTAAATGAGGCAGTTGGAAAATTTAAGCCAAAGAATAAAAAATAAGAAGCACTTTGTGAAGTTTAAGCTGTTAAAATTGTGCCAATTCTTAAAAAGCATTTTCACATTTTCCAAGTTGCATTACTTTGAGTGAACCTTGATTTTTTATTATTTTTTTTTTTTGGGAGTACATTTTTGCAGAATTTTGCTACTAAAGTGCATGGAGCTGTTATTGTTTGGAGATGTTGTGAGGCAGTGTTAGTAATTTGCAATCATATTTGTAGTTTCATGGAAAAAAAAGACAATGTAAAGTTGTATTTTTGATTTTGTATAAAAAATACTCTTTAATTTTGTATCATGTGAATGTTATTTATTGGTAAATAGAAAATTTATATTGTACCATATATTCACACTCCCCCCTCTCTACGATACATTCACGGTCCCTCTGCAGGCCCATCAACGCAGGGCCCCTAAAACCCTGGTGCCGGAACAGTCGACAGCCCTACTTCTCTGTACCGTATATTCACTATCTCTTATCTGTTATTGTCAAAAACAAACAAACAAAAAAAAAAAGACTTTTAAAAGAGGTTTATTCAAGTTCAAAATCTTTTAATTCACAATATATTACACAGGGGAAATAATACAGCAGATTCAAATAACATTATGAAAAAGTTACTGTTATGAAGTTTGCAGCCCTCCCATACACAGTGAATGCTACCTTTAAGAGCTAGTGCTACTTCAAGAACTGAAACAGCCTCGTTCATTTTAAATGCAGTGCTTTGGGTTCGAAAATTTTTCGTTAAAAAATTTCCCACAGAAGAAAAAAAACTCAAACATACCAAAACTTTATAATATAGGTTAATATAAAGTGCATTGAAAGAAATAAAGCCTTTTTAAATTAACACAAAACAAACACGCAAGTTATATTGAGGTCTAGTTAGCTAAAATACATATTGATTATTATTGAGATGAAGTATTGCTGGAAATAATATTATTAGATGGTCCATAGGGGGGCGGTAAAGTTCACATTTCTGAAACACCAATAGAAAAGGCACAGCAGCAGCTAATAAGACAGCATGTAATATTTTAACTGTATTTGTATAACTTTTAAAAGTGTGCTATGTAACTTTCCTGGTCACCTGCTCATCTCCATGGAGATGATGGTGCGTTGTCTTGAATGTTCCACAGTATGGCATTAAACTTGTGAGTTAATTGCTAAATAATACCTTGAAAAAGATGCTTTCTTAGTGTGAGGTGGATCGCTCCTTCACATTGTAACTTGGCCTGCTGGTGTCACCTGCTTATATGGAGATAAGTATCCACCAGAAAAGTTACACAGTGCACCTTCAATGCCTTTTTTTGTTACATAATTATTAGTATATCATAGCCAGTCAATGAATCAAATAAATCTATGATCGAAATCAATGAGCTGAATGGTGGTTTTGAATGTCACTAATGTTAAAATCCTATATTACACAAAATTGATTCTTGTGAGCTTTAAACCATGTTACACCTCCTCAAAAACATGCCTGGAGTTGTGTTTTGTTTCATTCACATGTTTGAGTAATCCTTAATCCTATTAGTCTGTTTACATCTCCAAAGCTCAAAACGCTCTGTTCCACTTTCTGATGTCATGAAGTGGTAGTTTTCAAGTTAACATCTCCTTTTACCTTTAGTTCAGTAGAGATTGGCAAATACAGTTTTGAAATTATCCAAATGATTCTAGTGAAGATGTGATGGAGTTTAAAACAAAGTGGACTGCTTCCTGTATTACCACATGACATCACATGGTAGAACAGAGTGTTTTCCGTTTGAGAGAAGAACTCAGCCTGAATAGGATTTGTGTGTTAAATGGGTAAATGAAACAAAACACAACTCACAACTTTTAATATATCCATTACAACAGTTCCATTTGAACTATAAGTCAGGAGGGATTTTCTTTCTGAGTGCTTTTTGTTTTTTTGCAATAATAATTAAAAACATGTTCCTTTATGTACAATATTACATTTAAGACATGTCTTTAAATACTTAAAGGTGCACTATGCAACACTTTGGAGCAGAGTCCACCACCTGTTTGCATCCACAGTGATGTTATTGCAGGGATGTTTTACAGTTTGGCATGACTTATCTATCTCCATGGGGACGAGCTGATATTGCCACCAGGCCAAATTACAGGTCAGATCTGTGGAGAGGCACAGTGAGAATACATGTTTTCCAAGATATCTGAGCAATAAAAACTCCCTTATGAATAAGCGCAAGTTAAAACCTTAGTGTAGAACATTCCAGGCAAAGCAATAGCGTCACCATGGAAACAAGCTAGGCAACGGATACTCCACCAGAAAAGTTACACAGTGCACCTAGCCACATATTGTCACAGGTGGAGATTATTGCTGTTATTGTAGTTTCACACAGTGTTTTGGAAAAGGCTGTACTACTGCTTTGAGGACAGTAGAGGGCAGTGAACAGTAAACAAAATCATTCTGAAACACAAAAAGTTCCCCCCAAGTATAAAATGTTGTTACAATTGTTACAATTTTTTTGTAATCAGTCTTCAGCAGTCATGACTTAGGTCTGTAAAACACCATATGTGAAAAGCACTAAGTTATAACACTCATGTCTATTAGCCTGGTCAGCCATTCATACTGTTTTACTTGTGTTGAGTTGCCGTGTGACGTGATCAAGTTGTGATCTTTTTTTTGTGGAAAACTGCAAATTCATTTAAAAAAAGTTTTCAATGTGAGTCTGGCTTTAATGATTAACCACAGAATCTTGCTTTATTTGTAGCCCATAAGATAGACTTGGTTGGTTGGTCAATTTTATATGTATTAATTTATTTTAGTTTCTATGAAGATGCTCAGCCTACTATGGAATCCTTCACCTCATCCAGACAAGATTTAGTCTTTAAAGCTAAAACCAAACTCACCCGCATGTGTTATTCATTCACTGTGGAAAGATTGGAAATTGATTCTGGATCTCGTCTGACCTCAGAAGTTAAGCACTAGTGAGTACTGGCGGTGCAGATTGGCAGCCTTGTTTCAATCAGTCTATTCCACAATACTCGCTTATCATCACCAAATGTAGAATGAAGAGTAGCGGAGTAAGAAAAAATGTATTTGATGCAGTGATATATTAAATTGAATCGTCACAGGCATATCATAATAAGTTTCGTAAAGCCAGATTCATGGCAATACACACCCATAATGAATAGTGCATGTTATTTTTTGGCATCTTTAAGTTGTTTCATGAAGCCAATTTGCGAAATGACAAAATAAGACTAACAATATTTATAGTTTTGTTGAACAGCCCTCAGGATAGTCATACAATCACCAAAATTTGAAAATGGATCACTGCTACTATTGTATGATCCAACGATACCAACTTCAGCCACAAGAGGGCAGTAAACAAACAAACTGAATGACTCACCAGGCCATCCAGCTTCTACACACTGTACCATCAACATCACTTTTTTGGTAGTCCAAGTATTTTTTAACATCGTAGAGCACTTATCATAATATAAAAAAAGTCCTTTTGTTTAAATAGGTTAAAGTCTAAAATGTCTTCGGAAATGCTACTATTTACAGTGAATCGGCCCATTGTTAAGATCTGGTTTGTCCCGTACTGATCATAATATTCGGCAAAGCGTTTCGCCTTTTTCTCCAACTCCCCAAATCACGGGCGTATCTTTTAATCTGATGAAACCACTGCTGCGTCCGCGATTTATCCGACGCGCGGAACACAAATGCTTCCCGTTTTATATCCAAAATCTCAAAAGTGTCTTCGCAATCAGGATCCGTCGACACAACGCAATTCCCAAGCTGGATCGGTTCCCTTAGCACGGCGAATTTCCCGCTACTTTTGTCTTTGATTAAAACCAGGACGCCGTCTTTGATGCTCTCTCCTCCGATCTCCATCTGCAGTCCCGTTTCGCCATTACCGACGCTATCCCGATTCGTTCTGACCATCAGTAAAGTCTGCACGTTTTGAAATTTGAGTGCTTTGCTTCCCTTTTTCACCCACTGACCATCTGCGGGTTGGGAAAGCTGTAGCGGTCCTTCCATTACGAATCTGGTGTGTTCTCTGGCCCATCCGACAGTTTTCATGGAAACCTCCCTCATTTCAATGTTGATAACTTCGCGATTTTTCCGACTATCTCTACGAAAAGACCGGAGCGACCACGAGACACCATTGCCTTCCTGTTTGGTCTTCATGTTGATGTGTTCCAAGTGGGATTCGACGCGTGATTTGGCGTCGCAGAGTTTGGGAAAATCCGGGTGACATTCAGAGGTGACCTTCATGATTCGGCTCAAGAGAAGAGGGTATTTGGTGACGCGCTGGAGAGGAGCCATCAGGAAAGAGCGGAGGTTCATACGACGTAGGGCTGTGTTATCGTTCTGAGAGACGTCCAAGAAAATCCTACAAAAAAGACAAAAATCACAGTCATAAAGTCTGTTTAAAGGTGCATTGTGTAACTTTTCTGGTGGAGGTTCCATCAAATGCTTTTCTCCCTGGAGATGTGATTGCTTTTTCTGGAATGTTCCACAGTGTAGCATTAAACTTTTCTATCTTCATGACCAAACCAGACCAAGTTGCAGGTCAGATCTGTGGAGAGGCGACCACGCTCATAGTTAGAATTCTTTTTTCTAGGTATTTTTGAGCTATAAAATGACCTGTAACTGAATAAATGTAAATTAGAGCTGTTGAACGGAGAAAAGCATTTGACAGAGCCTCCACCAGAAAAGTTACACAATGCACCTTTAAGCATAAGATGTGAGATAAGATTTGAAGAATCTGTATTACGCTATTTTCTGATCTGACAGTTGTACAGCAAGTTCCAACTCAGAATTCTGACCTTTTTAACATTGCAGCTCTAGACTTGAACAAGCCATGGCCCGGTCAGCTTGGGTCTCAAAATAGAAACTCTACCAAATTATTGATTAGCCGCAGTCTGCAACATTCATAATTTCACAAAAAGACTTTTTGAAAATGTTGTTTTGGAGGTATTTATGAAAATTGTGGATATTTTCTACTGTATAATTTTAAAAAATCATCATAATAAAAGTATTTAATTTAATGAATTGCTAAATATTGTTAATGTTATTAAAACATAAATGGAGACATATATGCCATATTACCCACCAAATCATATCTTGTATATCACTGATTATTTATTTATTTATTTATTTTATACTAAATAATAGAAAAAGAACACATAGAAATGGGTTACCGTAGCAGCTCCTTCTCTTTCTCCAGCGTGTTAAGCATGTTGACAGAGGTGGACTGTTGAAGGCAGTAGGTCTGAAAAGCCGGGAGCATGTTCACAAACTCCAGAAAGATCTCACCAATGTAGA